ATTTCAGACGAGAGTAATGCCGAATGAGTACCCATTTTATAATGATATTCTAAATAACAGAGTATGGTCAGTTGCTGGATCCATTAGGTACTACTTAGTAGTTATCACGGAGTAAATACGTACGGGCAGCGACCAGTGAAAGGTATATTATAGAGAATATCTGGAATCCCAGCTGTCAGCTGCTGATGTCACTTCGAGTTGTCAAGCATTAGACCAACATACCAAGGCAATAAGGACGCTCCAATCTTCACGGCCTGTGATCTTCATCAACCTCAGCCGAGCAAATAGTCGCATGCCGACGATAAGCGCAGCAATGCCAGTCAAGACCGCTGTCACAACCAGCGCTCGCTGGCCACGCTCATGGCCGTCGTCACTGGCCCGGGGAAGAATTTCGTGCAATATGTTGTCCATGTTGATTGGGTGTATAAAAGAGTGAATGGTGTGGCGAGGATGGTTATGTCAAATGAATGTCGTGGGTGAGTTCGGGCCTTCAATAATGTGGGTATATCATCCAGCCAACTCTCAGCAATGGCGGCCTACTGCATCGAAGTCGAAGAAGTTCCTGTTGCCCCGATATCCCCGGTATCAAAATCTGCAATGGAATGATAGACTGAGTGGGCAGAGAGGCGGGGGGAAGCACTTATGAGCTGGGTCCCAGGTCTCTGGCTGGAGTGGAGTGGATCTTGTGTTCATGCAAAGCATCACACAAGGAAAACCTTCTTGGCCGAACTGCGATCTCCGCAAAGTTCGCATAGTTGACTCAATAGTGCACGAATAGGCGGCGATCTCCAAGGACAAAACCAGGTCATTGGGCCCCGTCGTCCCCGGCAAGGCACCGGCTCGAGCGTGCGCCATGTGGCCCCTATGGCTTCGGATGGAGACTCCTTCCATGCAGGGAAGCCTCTGAATGCACCGAAGTCTGCTATCGAAGGCTCTAGCGTGGGCTCGGTCGCCTGTTCCCCACAGCAATCGTCACCCTTTGGTGGGCCCCGGCGCTGCAAGCCCTGGTCTCGAGCCATTTGATCTTGTGAAAAGTAACTGGGATTGGCATGTGGCCGCTTAATATCCCATGGAACAATTGACCATCAAACTTTTATTATCCTTGTCAGCCTCTCTCTTAGAGTTACGCTCGGAGTACTACCAGCATAAGGGAGCAGTCGTGAACGGGCCTTGTGTGTTATTGTCGACCCACTTTGGGAACGCGATGTTGCACTTCTCTCGGTGGCGCCGCCCTTGTTGTGTGCCTCGAGATTGAAGCTGCATCACAGTGCAGGATGCATGCATAAGGCTGTATTCCGCTTACACCGTGTTCAATTTACAGTCATAACAATTCCACAATCTACATGTATCACCGCTGTTTAGCCGACGAGCTGCATGCATCTGTGCTTCCAGACCCCCATCCCCGTGGAATGACAAAATTGCCTTGAATGTAACCTCCGGGGGTTTGACTTTGAAGATCCCGACGTCAAGAACGACAGATGACAATCCGTGATTTTCGCGTGGGTCTTGTCCCGTCGAGACTAGAACGATGCACCATCCCCTGAACCATTATGTATTTGATATGTGCTAGTATACCCTTTTTGCGGTTCGCCAAGGGTTATTTACGTCGGCAACTCTGTTCTCCAGTGATTTGTTTAATCATTGCACATCTAGCGCCGAGGGCAAGTCCACCAGAAACCCAACCCCATGGCAAATCCAGATTCAAGGCACCTGCAAAGCACTCTAAACGAACCCCACAAAATCGCCACTTTTATTCAATAATGCACGTCGCGACTCCACAGCGGAGGTCCACGACTGCTCTGTCCGCGCCGCACATCTCAATCCAATCCATTTGATTATTTGGCGCAATTGAAACTGCGATTGGTCGAAGGGCGAAGATCCCTTCCTTTCGCCCCTTGAACGTTTATGGGGCGGAACATGAGCTACTTTGATCCCTTGATGGTGCCTTCGCCCTGGAAGATATACCCCCGAGCTCAGTGATCGGCATGCATATTTCTAGGGGGCGGTTGCTGATCCCTATCCTAAGCGCCTTACCATTTCTGTCTAGCCGAGCGCCATCATCAAGACTAGGATCGAGTGGCGTTCTTCATAACTCAAATATCTTTGCTTTTGTGTGCGATGAAAGTGGATTGTCTGAGTTCTCGGAGAATCATCCGCATCCTTTGAATCGCACTACTAGCTGCTCTTTGGATGTTTATTTCCAATATAGGCTGTTTTCTTACTAATCGGCATTTATTGAAACCAGGGATCTGAGACAGGCTTAAATTGACCGGGATTGGGCTGCTACTCATCCAGAATCCCATGTGATGCACCATCACGTGTTGCTGACATCCACTAGTTATCTTCCTAGGTTTCGAGCCTTACCCCTGCCATTCTAACTTAAAGACTAATCAATTTCCGGAATTCCTTATTCCCAGGATCGTAAGTTCTGAAATAGAATTGGTAGAATCTTGAAATAATTCAAATCACAAAAAGGAGAAATTCACGCTTCGTTCCAGTCAGGTTTGCGTTCTCAAATAGACTATACAGGATACTTGAAGGTTTTCAGCTCAAAATCACCAAAATCGGCAAATTCTTCGTTTTCAACGCTAGTCGATCCGTCTGGAAGAGTTAGAATGACATGTAGTCTCCAAAGCAAAGGATACATACCGGACTCGGAAACGGCGCGGTGAATTTCATTTCGCTTATTCCATTGATTGTGAAGAGCACCATAAATTCCAATCAGAATGGCGGTTATAAGTATGAATGCGAGCATGGTATACTTTGCAGGCTATTGAATTGGATTAAATAATCAAATCGGGGCATGTGCTGCTCCAGTGTGCTCACGTAGTAATTAGGCGCATCCTTCGCCCTGTATGTCTGGGGACCTATAATGTTGCCGACGGCATATCCAAGTTGGTAGGAACACCCAAAGGTAATTTTCTTCGTAGACCCAGATATCCCAGCAGTCATAAAAGTGATGATAAACAGGACGCAAATAGGGACTGCGAGATGTTAGTAGCGCGTTCAATAATAGCGAGACTTCCTAAAAATCAGGAAGAGAGAACTAGAAAGCCCACAGAAACGAACATTGATAAATGAGCACATAACCACCGTAACGAGCACTGTTATTGGAGCTCGGAATTCCAAGCATCATGGCAGCTCCAATGCTTGCGAGGATGAGTGTGAATATACCAGCGAAAGTGCGGTTGGTACATTTTGCAACAAATAAAGCTAAGAACGTGCCAACTACCTGAGCTGCACCGGATCCAATATTCAGTAGTTGGGTGGTAGGGACGCTGTAGCCAAAGTTCTTCACGATTGTTGGACCTGCAGAAGCGGGCGTCAATTAAGCATTCCTGTGTATGATGTTTCAAAATGATGCACTGGCATACCGAAAGCAGTAAGTCCACCATTAGGCATACCAGTCGAAAGGAGCAGCAGATAAATCAGGTACAAGCGAACATCAAGAAAAGCTTCTCGAAGCTGTGACGCGTTGAATTTCCAGACCTCTGTTCCTGTTTTATTGCTCCGGACTCGTTCAAGAGCAATGACCTTCTCATCCTCACTCAACCACGTAGCGTCGGTCGGCGAAGCTGCAAGGAACAGAAACAAGAAAACACCAGTCACGAAGGTCATAGCTCCATAAAGAACAAAAAGCCCTTGCCATTGAAAGCTACTCGCATGATAGATAGCCCAGGCAATGAACCCTCCGAAAATTGATGCCCATCCGGACGTTGTGTACCAAATCGCCACCCTTGTGACTTGTTCTTCCTTGGTGTAAAAGGCTCCGGTAATAAGAATAGCCACAGGAACTGTTGAGACCTCAATAGCACCCAAGAAAAATCGGACAGCAGCCAAAGTAGCAAAGTCATGGCACACTGCATGTAATGCAACAACAATACCCCATATCATGCACATGATGCTGAAGTACTTGGATATATTGAAACGCTGCATGAGAAAGTTGGCAGGAATGTCGCCTCCTAAGTAGCCAAAACTGTCATTTTCAACTTAGTAGGTTATCTCAGATACCCTGGGCTCTAGGATTTGACTGTTTATAAGCCTGAAAAATGGAACGGTGTACTTACTACACAAGCGAACCTAGCCAGGAGTATTGTGCGGGGGTCAGATTTGCATCTTCTTTAATGCCCATGATTGCAGCATATGACAAGCTATTTTTATCCATGAGTTGGAGGCAGTAGATCACAAATATCATTGGCATGATACGCATATCAATCTTCAATCTCACTCGCTTTGCTTCCGGAGAATCTGGATCGAACGCAATATGGCGATTGGCCAGCAAATCCAAGGCTTTGTTTCGACTTGCTGTGTTGATGCAGTGACCCGAAAGTTGCTCAACGTCCCCCTCGAGATTGAAGTTCTCTGTCTACAGTGGAATGTGCTGGAATGAGTCCCATTTTCTGAATGGAATAAGGCAGGGATGTGCGTTACTCACCTTCGCAGATTTGATTTCGATATCCGCCATTTTTAATTCTGTCTCAATCCAGACAGGACAAGTATTTGAATGATTATCTCTCACTTCTAGGAAGCACTAAACGGGTTTTGCATAAATAGAGGGAGTTTGATGATGCTTGCAGTCTTTTACCAAAGACGGCGCGGGGTACGTAACCGAAGATACCATTAATACATGATAAGCTCCTGATGATAATCCGGGGTAATCTAGACTCGGAAAAAGCACCATAGATTACCAGTATCCTCGCAATCAATTGGGTAGAGTTCAGTCTACCTCCCTTTATCGAATTCGGCTTGTAGAAGAACAAAATCCAACCAGAAACATTAACCGACGTTCACCCCCTCACTCTGCTTCCTGTTATCACCTGGGCACGTTTCGAATATTGAACGTGATGCACAAATATCAGTGCGGTACATTGCCGACGTACGGATACGGTACATTGCCGATGACAGGAATGGGATTCAAGCAAGATATAAACACCGCCAATCGAAATATCCTTCCGTATCGAAGACAACAATTAAATGCAGCAAATATGGAAAAGGAAATAATGGCCAAAAGACTGGTTCCCGTTATATCGCTTAAAGGTGAGAGATTGATAGTCCCTCAAGCCGCAAAATCAACTGACAACCGTCCCAGACTTTGAGCAACGCAAAGACGAAATCACAGCACAGCTGATAGAGGCAGCCGAGTATGCTGGTTTCTTTACCTTGGTTGATCATGGTATCTCGAAGGAAGACATTGAGGCCCAATTCTCTATTTCCAAGGCTTTCTTTGATCTCCCGGCTGATGTAAAGGGCAAAACTCCCCATGATACTAAGACCAACAATGGATGGGAATATAAAGTGAGGAATTCCATCACCATCCCAGTCGGAACCCCGGTATTTATTCTCTTTTCTTAGGCCCAGCTGCGTCCTAGTACCGGCATGTACGACCAGAAAGAGTCGCTTTGGCTCCAACGCAAGTCTGACTGGCCAAGCGATGACCACGTGCCTGGGTTTCGAGATACGACGCGTGAGTTCATGGAGAAATGTGCAGAAATCTCCGACCAGCTCTGTATGTTCGCTGCCAATGTTATCTTTCTTGGAAACCTTGGTTGACATGTTCAGTGACATGCTTCGCACGTGCACTTGGCTTCGAAGAAGACTACTTTAAGATTGCGAACGATCCTTTTCAGCCGGACTGCCTAACTCAACTTCGTCTAATTCACTATCCACGGTCTGAGAAAGCTATCGGAACATGGAGGGCAGGAAGCCACACTGACATCGGATGTCTCACTCTTCTGTTCCAACGCGATGGAGAAGATGGATTGGAAATCTGCCCTGGTCGGGAAACTCATTCAAGTTTCGCAGGGGAGACGTCTTCACGCCTCTTCCGGCTGAGACAGGCCCCATTGTCGTCAATATTGGAGACATGCTCAGTGAGTGAAGAAAAGAACATGAAGCATCAGTCTGACTCTGCGGAGCTAACACTTGTGCTCGTTTCAAGTGGCGTGGTCAGATGACCGCTTGAAGTCCAACTTTCACCGAGTGCGGGCTAAGGACGATGGCATATCGCCGTCTCGATACTCGATTGCTTACTTCAATCAAGCAAGGCGCGACTTCATACTGCAGGGGCCGCAGAAAAAATAGTACGTCCCAAAACGAACTTTATACAAGAGTTGTTTTTGTCTGACCTCTGACCTCGACATGCAGTTCCCCAATAACTGTTGGAGAGTACTTTGCCCAGTCGGTCGCTAAGAACTTCAGTAAGTCGATGACAGCGGCTGTATAAGAAACATCCCCTCTTATAATACTTTTGGTGTATCTTCCTTCAATTGAGGTGTTTTGAGAAACCAACTTGAAGATTGTCCTTTTTTCATGCTGTTTCATACCTAGGTACTACAATATATATGGATCACTACTACTAGTAGCCATTATATATTATTGTTGAAACCGTGACGCTGGCTCACCACGCTAATAGTACCAGAATGATGGATCATACACCTGGCCTCGCGGACCGTAATAGTAGTATGATGCAACAATAACTCTTTACTAATTGTTGAGTACAGTAGAATTCAGAAGTTACTAGTAGGACTTTTCTCATGAGAATTTCCGAATGTTAGACAGCATTTGTAAAAACGACGCAGTATATCATTCACTCGCTGTCAAGTTTGGATTTCACAAAAGCACGAATTTGTTACCCTTCGATCACTGCTCCACGTTTCACATTGGATACTGCGCTATGATTTACTGAGAACGGGCCGAATGGTCGCGTGGACGTAACGAACCATAAAGGGCCTTGGCTCGCGGTTATCGTATTACCGAGCTATCAGTGGGGTGTTTACCTTTGTTCATCTCGTCCATTCAAAACCCGTTCCACTTGGCTCACCAGTGACCCCCGCACTTGATGGTTAGATTATTTCCTTATACATACTATCCCCACTTCCCTATCACAATTCCAGTGGCGTTTTGATTGTTAGGTGATGTGAGCCGGTCCACTCCACTTCCCCGCTCATCAGACATGGAGTTTATCAGACGTGAGTAGGCCCGCATTTGAACCCAGGTGGCCCCTTGCTGGAGCCAGCTACTCGTAACCTTCATTTCCGCCTTGTCCAAGAGACACCACCAGGTTTCATCAGATCCCCGATGCCACGTCCAAAGGTGCGCCCGGAAAATCGTCAACGATCCTGTCGAGCATGTTTGGCTTGCAAGGCTTCTAAAATTAGGTGCGACGGCAAAGACCCTTGCGGATCGTGTTTACGACGTGATCTGGGCAACTCATGCATATACTCGGGTGTTGACCGGCGACGCAAAGGTAAGGGCAAGTCGGGAGATGTTGAGCCCGTGGCAAAGGCTCCCTCGTTGCCTTTGGGCTCCTTTGCAACCACTTCTGCATCTCCCGATGCACCCGCGATTCTCATGGAGAATACAATTTCAGTGGCTCAAGTTACTCCTTCCCTGAGCCCCCAGGAAAACTCTCTAGGTTGTAATTCAATTGACCACGAAGACGTATCCTGCATTTCAGACATGGGTGGAAAAGGTGTGGCGTCTTCGTTATGTTATCGCTTAACACAGGCTAATCATAATTCATTTAGTGAATATGGGAGAGACATCTTCACTATCATTTCTTCACTTCTTGAAACGTACCATTAAAGGGTATATTGGATCGGTGCCCTTTACAGAGGAAGGAGTTCCCCATGTCACTTTGGATCCAGGAAACAGTGGCGTGGAAAATGAGATTCGAATCATCTCCTTCGACGAGAGACGCTCTCTTCTTGATTCTTATCTTGAAACCGTAAGAATCACACCCTCAATGTTAATCCATAATATCAAAAGCGCTCATTCTCGCTAGACCAGCGGTGTTCTAGATGTTCTGACCGCATATGAGCTCGAAACTCTCCTTTCCAATAGTCAGGACATTCTCCCCCAGTCTCCACGTGTTTCTGGCGACCTGAAAGCCATATTTGACCTCGTTTTTGCTATTGGAGCCCAGGCACGAGGATCTGGCAGTGATCCGCATATTTCCACTTCTCATTTCCTGCGCGCCCGTGCTACGGCCTTTCAGGGAATGTTGATGACCCAAACTTTCGATATGGTGCGGTTATTTACCCTTCTCACGTTCTATACCCTCGGCGCCTGCAACCGAAATGCTGCATCGATGTTTCTGAGTGTCGCAGCAAAAGCTGCCGTTATTTTGAGCCTCAACGCCACCGGAAATGATCAGAACTCCTCGGAAGAAGAGAGATGCGCCAGGTAAAGCTTGATCTACTGCTCATAATTTCTGATTTACTATCTGCTGAAAGACATCCCAAAGAATTAGAGTTTGGATCAGCGTGCGAAACCTCGATGTTTTGAGCAGCTTCATTTTCGGGCGACCGAAAAGCTTACCAGCTCTTGCCACCGATTGGCTTGAGTCTCCACAATATGATCTTGGACGTGGGCGAAAGTCATGCCCCCTGTTTACTGCAATGGCCAAAGCTTGCAATCTACTTGATCAGATCGTTGATACTCTAGGAATTAACGGAAATATTCTCCATGTTCCTGCTGCCGAGGACCTGCTTAGACACCTGCGACAGTGGAGTCGAGAATTGCCTCCGCATATTCGTCGGTTTCCAGTGAAATGCAATACGAATGTCATGCTGCAACCTGCCGATCGCCAAGCACTGCTTGGGAGCCTACACATATGGGGTGTGCATTACTTCGCCGTCCTGCTGATTACGCGCCCATTTCTCGTGGCATACTTGATGTCGAGATTACGTGGCAAAGCACCAGATGATCTTATCAGCGACCCCAACGAGGCATCGGACGTGAGCATCAAGAACAGCAAAGTATCAAGATTAGCGCAGGTTTGTGTCAGTTCGGCCATAGACATGGTCAATATGTGTATGAAAGCAAAAGATTGTTGTTTGACATTCTGCAATTTCTTTCTTCTTGAGTATGGTCATCCTTGTCCTTTGCATACCCTTGGACCATTTTTGCGCTACAATAACTTACTGACAACCATCTTTGGACAGGGCGTGGGTCTTCGGTGCGGGCTTGGTCCTCGGTTTCTCAGTATTCGCTGGGGATCCACGCAAAGACATCGAGAATGCCTTCCACAATGTGCACATCATTCTGGGAGATATAGCTTTAAGTAGCCCTCAAGCTCGGCTGTACCGCAACATACTCACGAGCTTTGCCGAGGCAATAAAGAGATACCAACAGCGAGTGACCGACGAAAGAGATTATACTGTACAACATTATATGGATCGGGTGTTGATTTTTGACGGATCGCTGGATGGTGAGAATACCACCGAAGAAGGCTTCAGCACCATTTCTCCAGCGTTGAGCTATGGATGGCAATCGTATCTGGCTACCGCTTCCCAGTCGCAATCGGTTGTTGATTTAACAGGTCTACCACCGTTCTCAGATGTGAACGACCGCTTTGATGTAGGAAACGATGACTGCGCAGGAGTCGGGCTTGGATTTCTGGACTGCTTGCAGCCGGAGCTTGAGTCGTTCGATCATTTGTTCTACACGGTTGAGTAAATTCTATTTTTCTTATTCCTTTCTTGGTATTATATTTTTATTTCGCGTGTACTATCGTGCTTAGTGGAGATTCTCTTTTTGTTGAAACTCAAAGCAGGTCTGGTAGCCCATTTGACCGCCAGCATGTAGAATGAAGCAATAAACAGCTCAAGAGAATATCTTGAGGGTAAATTTTCCTAAGGTGAATTCCCGAGTACACATCGCTCACCACCTAGACTGATAAGGTTCGAGCGTAATTCTGGCCCTACTCAGGCGGGATTACCTTCCTGCTGAGTTTGGATGATTTTCTTGACGTAGTAAATCATGATACCGCCTCTCGATTTTCCCGGGTCGAAAAGCGTCTGGTTAACCGGGAAAAGCACAGACGTTAGTTTGATCAACTCCCCACTAAATACGCAAAGCTACAGAATCGTAGCAGAATACGTGATTGTCACGGATGTTCATAGGAGTTTAAGTTCCGCTGCGGGCCAGTAACATTTAGACAAGCAGCCAATTAAGGACTTTACCGATAGCTATACCCGTGAAAACCCCTACTGAAAAGTTTGTAAGAAATATTCGACGAACGACGGGATGCGTGGGCGGATATGGTCCGCCCCTTTACCCGAGATAAGAGTGAGGATTCTTGCCCACAAGGGTGCTAGCCGGCGGAGTATATCTCGCGAAACTAGGATGTAGGTTAATTTATCATAGTCGAAAAGAGGCTACTAGTATTGATCAGGCTCAATGACCAGACTCTTGACAACGGCAATTGCATTGATTGAACCTACAGCCATCTCAACTTCAAATAGCATCACTATGCTGACAAGGTAATTATTCTGGCTCTTTGTCTTGTCGAGTTTCCAATTTTTAATGTCATTTCCGTCAGGTCACAAGTCCAACAACACCGTACCAGGAAGAGCTGTTGGGTAATCATAGGTCAAACAGTCTATGATATTACTGATTTCTTAGACGAGCATCCAGGAGGAGCCGGAATTCTACTTCAATATGCTGGAAGTGACGCAAGTGAAGCATTCGAGTCAATACACCAAGCCGACATTCTTACCCGATATCTCAGTCAAAAGTACGCTCGACACTAAGTGAATCATTGAACACAAAGCTGAGAACAGAGTAAGACAAATTCTAGGACCGATCTCGATGGTTCAAGATGCAAAAAAACCTGAACGTTCATCCATCGCAGAACGAAGAGTGCGACTCTCGTTCGTCATCAGCATTCTTGATTTTGAATACGCGGCATCGCAAAATATTCCACCTGCTGCCTTTGCATGTGAGCGCTGTCAATTGATGGATATCAACATGTTCTGATTTATTTCAAGTTATTAAGGCAGGCTCTGAAGACGAGCAAGCCGCCAAATGGAACCGTGACTCCTGGAAGATGCTTCGTTTCCTTCCTCGCGTACTTCGACCAATCGACAAGATTGACCTATCACAGTCTATTCTAGGAATCGAATTTTCTGCACCTTTTTTCATTTGCCCAGCTGGAGGAGCCAAGCTCGCTCATTCTGAGGCTGACTTGTGTCTTACTAGAGCTGCTGGTCGTCACCACATCTTGCACTGGGTGTGTAATAACAGCCACGTATCTCAGCAAGCAATGAGTGAGGCGCGAGCTCTTGATCAGACTACATTTTGGCAGATTTATGCAAGGTCAGATCTTGAAATTACGACTCAGGAAGTCAAACAGGCTGTCAGCCTAGGGTACAAGGGGTTTGCATTGACTGTAGATGCCGTCCGCGCTGGAAAGCGAGAGCGCGACTTAAGGGCAAGCATTGCGAAGCGTGAACTGGATGGTATGTGTGTGAATGATGATGAGGAGGATGAGGGATTTGCTGGTGAACCTTCGGTGGGACGACCGTGAGGACCATCCTTTGCCCTTTCTAGTTTTGACTGTGCTGAACAATCAATAGAGAGATGCAGCGCGGACTTGACTGGACTTCCGCTATTGAATGGCTGCGAAAGATAACTGATCTGCCCATTGCTATCAAGGGTATACAGTGCTGGGAAGATGCGGTTTTGTGCATGGAGTATGGCGCCCATCCGTGGCTTTCAAATCATGGCGGTCGTCAGCTAGATTCCGCTCCCACAGCAGTGGAAACCCTAATCTCCATGCGCCAGCACTGCCCCGAAGTTTTCGACAGGTGCGAGGTAATTGTTGATGGTGGTATCACTCGAGGTTCTGATATTGTCAAAGCGATTGCTCTCGGCGCTAAGGGCGTTGGGCTGGGCAGGCCGTTTCTCTATTCCGTAGCCTTTGGCGAGGCGGGTGCAAGTAAGGCTATACGCATCTTGAAACACGAGGTGGAGACGACAATGGCCTTGCTTGGGATAACTTCACTTGAACAGCTAAACTCTTCCTATGTTTGTGTCTCAATTATTCATCTTGACTCTGAGATAGATTCAGGCTAACTTACAGAGTTACAGACCTATATCCCCTCGGTCCCGTTTGGCACTTTGAAATCGGTGCTTTAGGCAATGACATATTGTGACAAGGTTAATTTTGACGTTTGTCATTCGATGACCAAGCGATTGGAGATTCACCTTACCTTCAAGGCGCGAATTTTTACCTTCATTGTTAATGGAAACCTCCATACGGCAGATTTCTACTCTTAAAGATCCGCCTATGAGATGCTTTCTCGTCCACTTTCCTTCATGTTGTTTTGTATTGTTTCGTGACTTCTGCGTAGACCAATTGAAACTTTTCCTGCGAAAAACTTGTATTATATCTCTAGTTGTTATGCAAGATCTCATACTGCATCCGCACATGGAGTTCCACTGAGCATCAGGTGTTCTGATCTGGGTCTCAAACTCCATTGTAGCAGGCAGAACTGACGGACATCGTCTAATTGCCTACTGGCTCCATGTTAAGCTGACCGCTTCTTTCTTTCTTCAGGAATGTAACACGAAGACTGTTGGTGTCATTCGTTCACAATCCCGAACTGGTATTCGGCACCGGCTATTCAACGTTATGTTTAATCATAAATATTCTTGAACTAGATAGCGAGCAATGTGATTCCTGATTTCACTGTCTGATATTAGGCAAGGTTTGCACGCATATTCTCGGGGCTGCATAGGTTATTTCCGCTTTTAGACCCGAGAGGAATGCTTATTTGCTAGAACAGAGTGTTCGGCCCGAGCACTAGGTATAGCCGATCTCCATAAGAGTCCAAGACTAGAAAGTCTATAAAGATATTTTCTATTCGCCTGCTCGTCTCCAAATCGGGAGTTCCATGATTATCTTAGACTTTGGTACTACTACTGCACTCCTCCAACTCAAAATGTCACTCCTCAACACCAAGCCAATCAAGTTAACCCACAAATTAACTGTCCATGCACCACTTTCACGTCGCGGACATGGACCGGGTATCATCATCATTCGGACAGCTACGACTACTAGTATGCAGAACCAAAGTGCCACACTAGATCCCGAGCCACTACAAAAGTGGGCAGAGGAGGGCTACACTGTCGTCCAAGTGACGGTTTCCTCCAACTGTCGCACAGTCAAGGAGAATCTTCGCCAAGCTATCGACGCTCTTAATGAACATGAAAAGTGCAACAAGAAAATATACGGCATAATAGGTTGGAATCCTCTTGCAATCCTTTGTGGATACATGTAGCCACGTTCTCACAGAAGTATTATAGTCTATTCGGCGTCGTTTGTCCCTGACTTGGCCGACGAAATCGACAATCTTGATGAAATAAAAGCTATAGTTTCGTATGGAAGCCTAGCGAGAACGCCAAAAAAGAAGTTCATCTATCATTTGCCCGAGCAAGGCACAAAGTCGAAACCCGAAAGGGGAGTCATCTATCGCTACCCGAATGTCTCATCGGCCTCCTTCATCATCCCCTCGCACAGGGACTTCAGCCCATCATCGGCCGCAGTCGCACATACCCGTTGTATCTCGTTCTTGAAGCAAGAGCTCGACGGACCGTGGTTTGATCTTGAAGAAATATGGGATGAGCATACCAATTTCGAGTTCAGTGAACGATCGGTCGAAAACACGATGGGCACTATGGTTCAAGAACCATATGTGAATCACACTCCAACGATGACGGGCGGCATTGGGAGAGAAGCGCTGAGCCTCTTCTATGCAAACCATTTTATCTTCAATAATCCAGAAGACACTGCTCTGGAGCTTGTGAGTCGCACTGTCGGCATTGATCGGGTCGTGGACGAGTTTATTTTGGTCTTGACTCATGACAAGGAGGTAGACTGGCTGTAAGAGCTATCTGGAACATCGTGAAAAAGACTTCTCTGCTAACATATATCAATCATTTAGTATTCCCGGAATCCCTCCTACAGGAAAAACGCTCCGAATCCCTTTCATTGCTGTGGTCAATATTCGAGGAGACAGGCTGTACCATGAACATATCACGTGGGATCAACTTACGGTACTATTTCAGCTTGGTTTAATGCCTGAATACCTTCCAATCCCATATGATCTCCCGTATGGCCCACGCCCGACTGTTGACAAGAGACTTGAATATCGTGTTCCGGGTGCTGGAGCCCGGACGGCAGAAAAGATGGTTGATGAGAGTAGCGTGGCTTCCAATGAGATGCTAACTTACGCGGTCCGAGAGACGACGATTTCATCTCCATGATTATCTCTTGCTATTGAGTAGAGTTGCTAGTGATGAATCTGAATATTTTTTTTTATCAAATTGGTTAGCCTCATGATCCTGATACTGATCTAGAGCCTAGAGCCTATCCTATGCGGGTGGGTGGTATCTGGCACATACCAGGTAGGTTTAATTTTCTATGGCCCCATCCTGCGGGAATGACCCTCCTACTAGATGCATATTGGCGCTAAATTCATTTACTCACAGTGCCTAGCAGGCACCGCCTCATATCCTGGCTCGTTATAAAGAACTTCCAGGTCACAGAGAATGCCACAGAACTGTTTTCGCATACCACTTTAAGATCCCATGATAAGTGATTGAATATATTGGCTAGGTTAACTCTTTGACTCATCTATAACAACGACTGTAGCTGATTTTTACTCACAATAACCATACTTTGGTAGATGCCAGAAACCTTGTCTTTCGATTATCATCTGGACGATCTCTTCAAAAACGGCTGTGCCGGACTGGGGCACATGGAATGGGATGCAAACGCTTTGCTTTTTGATCCACCCTTCCCACGCAAGATTTGATGAAGTCTAATAATTTTTCTGCCTGAGCAGAATCTGTAGTCCCGATAGATAGGACGTTGCTGTTCTCTATTAGAACTACATCGTAATTAGACGGATTACAGAGGATTGAAACAAACCTGACATGGTTGTGTTTGTCTTGCACATGAAAAACAGGTAGCGTTCCTTGCGGAATGCTCCGTTCACGATAGGCATTGAAGAAAGCGACAGTGGCATCTGCTGTTTCTTTCCTATATATTACTTAATATCGCCACCTATGTCAATTCCTTAATCTTCCCAGTTTGACTTACACTTCCCATTGGACGCTTCCAATGTAAATCGGTAACTGCTCATAATCTCTATTCATATTGTTAACATAAAAAAGCTAGACTTGAAGCACATGGTCCTGTGGGTCTGGAGCAAGCTTACAATAGCGGCGAGTCCTCTGGCAGAGACTTAAATAACCCGAGTGCAGAGAGAGGCTGTAGGACACATTAGACTAGTAAAAGGCCATGCGGAGTAAGTTTGACCTACACCCCATACCGCCTCAGAATCTGATCCATAGTAATGGCGAATCACCTTTTGTCGGACAGGTTTAGTTCTATCAAACCAAAAAGGTACACTCAAGTAAATAACTCCAGAAACAGGTGGGAAAACTGGCATTTTCGGTGTTCGTCCCGGATCTCCTGCTCTTCGTCAGCGAAAAAGATGATCAAACTATACAAATTAATTTCATACCTGCAGCATACAAGTTCATTGCAATATGTGCGCCACCAGAGGAGTGGCCCAAAAGTACCACCTTGTTCGGTGATCCCCGGCCGTATTTTACGGCTGCAATGTTTTGGAAAACCCATTCCCGAGCAAGCTGCATATCATCGGCTCCTCCGGGGTATTCAACGTTCGGAACTAGGCGATGATTTACGAGTACAGCGACGATACCGTGTTGAGCAAAATAAAGCCCCACATTCGCCCAGCACTTGCAGAAAATAGTCAGTCGAGAGGGTATGTCACGAGCATCCGATGGGTTAACAGCACAGCAGACAAGTCATACCTTTTCGCTCCATCCTTTATCTCCAGAGAAGAAGCCTCCACCATGAACAAAGAAAACCACCGGCTTTCCCTCAGTCTGGTCCTGAAGAGGAAAGTACACATCCAGTCGATTGCGATCAGCGGGCCCGTATTGTTGATCCTTCACAATGCCAACGCTGTCAGGAACTTCAGTGTACAATGGCTCATATAGTTTTCTCCAGACCTGTACCTTGTGAGATTTGAGACGAACTCTCTTTTCTTGGTCAATGTCACCTTACCTCTTCATCTCCGGCGTCGAATTTGGTGTTGTCTTGTGCTATCTTCCTAAATATGTTTTCCATGGTTGATTTCTGCAAGCCCCAGCTAGGACTGTCATTTGCACGGAAAGAGAACACCGGTGTTTGCGCACAATATATACCCGGAATGGCCTGACTGCTGAGTAGATAATTACCTATTCTTCTGAACTTGCTGTTATCTGCCCTTAGCCGAGCCTTGGAAATAAGCCGCATGCGATTCCCGAGGTTACAAACATGGTCGAAGAGATAATGTATTCAACTTAAGTGGGTCGTTATATATCCTCGGCAATGTACCTGAGACTCTAGTTCTTTGTAAATAGTTTTAATAAGGGGGTGTACAGGCTGTTAGGTACTTAGCCGAGCGGCGGTGGAGAATTGGCTTTGGCACGACACGACACAGCTTCTAGACTGAGTCGCCACAGGAATGCGTCATACTTGTCTGACCCGTAAATCGCATTGGAAAGGGCAAAATTGCAGCGAATGTTTCATTGACATGATTTTTGATTACACAGAGCAGGAGGTTGAAAGTAGACATAGGGCATATCAGGAGCCTACAAAATGAAAAATCTACCAATTCAGTCAACTTTGGCAGGACACCTAAGCCTTTTCCATTGTCATATGCATTAAAACAGGGTTTGAAAAGATCTGCTGAGTGAATTTTAATACAGGAGACCTTAAGATGCGTAGTTGACGTGCGTCAAATGCGCATGAACATGTGTCTGCATGCTTATTGGATCAGGCCGGATGAGCCTGGCGATACGAGTCGCCGGAGCCGATATTCATGACTTGTTTGTTAAAGCCGCCTAGGGGATACCCCACAATTTTCTCTTCCGGTTGTATTATATGCGCAATTGAAGACTTATGGTAGTTCGAAAACCTCCAAATCGATTATTGTTGGACTGAACAAGTGACTGTCGATCCATCGGAAGCGCAGAGACAAGGAAGGAAACAGGGAGCCGAAGAACATCAACGCGAAGTTGTTAGCGAAATAATGTCTATGGCGATTGAAGATCAACAAAATAAATTAGAACTCAGTTCCGCTCATTCAGGACTTCTTTAATCCGCCCGTGTTTGAAGCCTCAGCCACTCCTGAGTGATCCCCCTGTAATCATGGATGGTGTACCCTTCGAATATCTCTTTTCTTAACGTAGGTTTTCTCCAGCGGTTGAGTTCAAGATCATATAAAAGCATATCCACATATGGAATAGCGTCATAGACAAATTCTGGATACCATGCCGAGAATCCACAGGGGTAACGATGCTTTCCGTAACGACTTAGTAGAGCGGTCTGATGGTACACTTTCGTCTCGTTCAGAGTGATCTTCCCGTTAAGATACGCGTAAGCCCACAACGCCTGACACTCTGCAATAATCATGTTGCTAGTGCTGTGGACCATCTTAATATACGCAATAGAATTATCGCCCTTCGCCACGAGCGATGGAGGTGCAATGCCACGATACAGTCGAAAGGGACTAACATCCTGCTTGTAGGGGACAGCTGGTGGAGGATTGCGGAGGCATGGAAAACGACCCAATATCTCTTCATCGGCTTTGTTGTTTAGTTGTCGCCACAAAATTCTGTCTTCTTCGCTGGCATTGCTGCTCGGAATGCCGAGACTGCTGTCCAGGCCGTCAGGCTTGTACACCACCGATTGGGCGAGCTTCCACCCTGTAATGGCAACTAACGCGTCTGTTTGAATACTGGTATCATCTGAAAAGGTGACGATGCCGGGTCCGGATAGATGGTCAATGTCTTTCCGTATGATCTTCACCTGGCCAGAGCGAAGATAGTCGTGGATATCAACTGGATAATTAAGGATTCCAACTCGCGCAGACCAAAATAGACTTTTCAAACACATTAGTAACGATTATTTTGATCAATCAAAAGACTAATTCTGACCTTTCGAGGGGTTCGAGGTATCGCAAGCATTCCTCCTTCCTGTATCCGTTCAGATATATGATATCTGCCCTGATGTTCTCCCAGAATCTGTGAACAAAGTATCTCCCCAAACGAGTCTGATGCAGGATCTTTCTGATCCAGCTGAATCCGTCAAAATCACCGAAGATGCATGGGCTGAACCATGTGAAGAACCTTGTGGTCGCAAGCAACTCCAACTTTGTCTTGACTCCCGCGAATTTGGCCCATGGAGATGCCATCCAGACCCCACCGCCTCCAGACTCACGAATGACCCAGTGCACCTTCTTGTGATTTGATGCCATCATGTGCACGACGTCGTATCCTGTTTTTGAAGCCCCCATAACAGTAACAGTGTTGACATTGGGATCGTGGGCAATGCGCTCTCCCTTGCCGCGCAACTGCGCATGATTGATGACTGGTCTTTCGAACTCGTCAATGCCGCGAATATTGACTGGGTTAGGGGTTGATGACAGCCCGCTACTAATAATAAGCTTGTCACATGTATACATTATTGATGAAGAGGAGTCGCTGGTTTGGGTAGTTAGGCGCCAGCCTTGACCGAGTTTTTCGATCTCTAGAACCTGAGTATTGAAGGAGATCCGACGCCGGATGTCAAATTTGTCCGCGAAGTCATTTAGATATGAGTGCAGCGCGGCGCCAGGGATATGTCTGTCTTCTTTGACGTCATATTTTTCTCCCATGGGAAAGTCGGTGAATTCGTATGTTCCGCCGAGATTGTTTGTCTTAAGGCCCTCGTAGCAGTTTTCTTCTGACCAGACACCGCCTAGGGTTGGTCGCTAATTTCTTTGGGTTATATCACGAGCGTGGAAGGGGAAGCAGGTCTGCGACTCACCTTTTCGACGATCACGAGGTCTATCAGGGGCGACAACTCGAAATAGGTTTTTGCGGCGGCAAGGCCTCCTATTCCTGCCCCAATCACAATTACCTCAGTAGAGCGGTGTTGAGGTTGCATGTTGACGCTTGAAGTGAGAATGAGAAATTATGAATGGTTTCAGATTGTACTAAAGGGTACATATTTTGCAAGAAACGGTAGACTTATTATGTGTAATCTCTTCTCATTTATCGCATATATCAATTGTCCTGAGTTCCGGTAAAACCCCGCAACAACTCAGGCGAGGGTCACTTCTCTGGCGCAGGGTGGGCTGGATTCGATTAGATAGCGTTGTCGGCTATGTACCATGTCTTCATGAGGCGAGAATGAGGGGTCAAAGCCGAATCAGTTAAGTGAGATAGGGACAGCGTTGTATCAACCATAGCTCGGAGTTACCAAGAAATTGGTATAGGAAAGCAACAATAGTACCGTCGAAGGTCCATGTACGAATGTTTACCAAATCAATAAATTAGTATCAAGATAACTTTCTATTCATTGGGCACTAGTTACTAGTAGTACTATAGAAAAGTCCAATAGGGCTTGAAATTATTTCACTCCAGCCAAGTTTCAATCGCCTTACCCAACGCCTCTTGCAACCAATGATCGTTCAATCGAAAATTTAGATCAAACCCATGCTCTCCCTCTTGTGTGATGTACACAATACTGTCAGGAGGCGTCAATTCACGCGCACGCTTAACAAACTTCTCTGTCTCGGCGATGGGAATCACGCTATCTTGACGGCCCTGTATAATCACAACCCCACCACGAGGGACCATGCCCCCTGACTGCTCGAGGCGCGCTATCGGAGATAGCTTTTCATGCGGCGTATTCTCCGCACCACGTGCATAAAGTGCCCCGAGATGCCCATGCTGAATACAAGCGATCATAAATGCTGATCGTTCTGGTGAAACAATCGATGAGACAGGAGCCCCAATGTCGGCCGTATTCATTATGTCGTGATAAGATGACTCGGGAACATTCTGGCCCCAGACAGGTCCTCCGCGAGGCTTTGTATAGGCCGAAGTCATAAAATCGGTACATGGGTACGCGGCAGTCACGCTGCGTATCTCTGTTGGATGCGCTAGAGCTAGATAAAGACTAAGCGTGCCACCCGCAGATCCACCAATGGCCATGATACGATCAAGGTCTAGCTCTGCGGGATTGGAGTGTTTTTGCAACAGATTTGCTAGCTCTGGCGTATGGATCCAGGCCCAGAAATCGTCGACATCTTCGTGAATTTCCGTACTTGTCGCTTCGGGCATGAGCCGATAGTTTGGGCTTATGATTATCGCTCCGTGTTTCAGGGCTAGCTCAGATAACCAGACAGGCCAAATGAACATGAGGAGTGAGTCTCCGACTACCTAGAAAATCGTCAGCTTAGGTATCTGCAATTGGCCAATTATCTTCTCATGGCGATTTAGGTGGAATTCATACCAGACCGCCGCCATGGAAATTGACTATGACTGGTCTTTTCCCTTCGTGTCGTGTTTTTGGTACAAGGATATCGCAGCGAATTCCATGATCTGTGACCGTTTTATAGGAAGTTTGGAGAATGTCGAAATCATCGATTTTTGGATCAGATGGTACTACCATTTCAATCGAATGAACCTGGGAAAATGAATCTAAGAATGGTATTGCCGAGGGTGAATGTTGTGAGCTTATATGCAAAGCAATCGAGGACAAATTCGCCAAAACGTTACTAAAGTTATGCCGCATATTTTGAGTGCATTTTAGGCATCTGTCCATACGTGGGGCTTCTGCCTACTGGTAGAAGCTTCAAGTTCTTCCGAGGTTAATATGATTGGTTGGCTACTGCGTGCTATCCAAGTACATATTAGCCCCCGAAGCCACAGATCCTTCGGCCCCAAACACGAGGAATGCTGCGAAACCTGGATAGGAAAAGAGTTGCCACATCCGATCCTACTGTTTCTATTATAGTACCTTTTCCAGATTGAGATATGAAAGAGATTCGTATATGCAAGACTATCGGGTTCTCTTCTTTCAAAAAGAACAAGAATTTGAAGGATTTGTGGATACATAGAATGACTCACAAAGAACAGACACAAGGAACTGGTATTTCGTAAGAGATTGCATCGCTCCCAAGGTCCTTTTTGGGAGATGAATCTTATATAAAAATGAAGCGCATATCAAGTAACATGCTCTTTTTCTTCCTCCTTTGGTATTCTAACCCAGACAACAGTCACCAAGGCCGCTGTTAGCTGAGCTCCTAGTGCAAACCACCAAATAGCCCGAAGACCCTCAAGTCCAATTTCTCCATCAGAGCCCGTATTGACCCGTGTGCCGATTGCATCAGCGATACTGGTCATGATCGCTGATGACAAGTTCTGATTGGTGACAAGAAGACTACCTGCACTTCCTTGGTATGAGCGAGCGACATTGCTAGTAATGAAAATAGACGCCGCGGCAAAAGCCAGGTCGGGGCCAAAGGTCACTAAAGCAACACCAGGAGAGAGATAGTGCCCAGTAAGTTGTAGTTGCTGTTTGCGGGAGGAAGAAGGCCGGTCCAAGGGTGAACGCGAACATGGAACAGGCGTAGATGTAATGACCGGGCACGAGGTGGAGTGTACGGCTGACGACCCAAGTCGCGAGAACACCGACTAAAGCGTTGGGGATATGATAGAGCGCCACAGCAATAGGAGTAGCATGTTGAATTCGTAGCCAGAATTGGATGGCGTAAAACTGCCAGGCTCCAAAAAAGGATCCGAAACCAAGGAAGTAAGCAATCATCAATGGTGTAAAGCCTGGAGTACTCCAAAAGACGGTTCGGAATAAGCGGCCGGATGGCGGCACGTTCAGCGAAGAAGAGACCGACTAGAAGAAGTAGGCCTATGATGATCAAAATGTAGGTGTAGGGGGACCAGGATGCCACCGGTCCTTGCGTAAGGCCGAAAAGTAAACAAACGCATCCTCCAGCAGCACAAGCGCCGCCTATATAGTCGAACTGTCGTAGTGATGGAGCCTCAGTGCCCGCGACATCTGCCTGGGGCCGTAATGGTGGAATGGAAAAGTATGCGGCAACGGCACAAATTGCGCAGATGATGGCGTTGGTCCCAAATATCCAGGGGAGATGTTGGTACAGCCCACCACCTTGCAATGCACCGAGCGAGAAGCCGAATGGGGCCGTCGCAGCCATGGCTGAGAAAACACGATTCTTGCGAATTCCTGGCTTATAAACGCGACCAAGTATACTCATGCTTCCTGAGACGAGGACACCGATCGCGAGCCCTTGCATAGCCCTCATCACAAAGAAGAGAATATAACGAGATGGATGTAGAGAGAAGGCCCCGACGATGTTCCAGACGCCTAGCCACACGAAAGCACCAACCATGAGAAGTTTCGGCGGGGCAAGGTCTGAAAGAGACCCAGAGATAACGACGGATAAACCGTTGGCACAATTAAAGGCACCCACGACCCATGGCAGCTGGGTGTTGGAAATGCCGAGTGCCTCTTTTAACTGCTGCTGGGGAGCAAGCATATCACCCAAGAGGAATGAAAAAAGCATCAACCCCGCGGAACAAACCATGATCAAAACAATCTCCGCCGAAAAGCTTGATAACTCTGGCGGAATTCCCTGCTTTTTCTGAACCGGCGATGCCGATTCATCGGCTTCCCGAGCTCGGGATACCGAGGGCTTTCGGTTGGTGAGGCGATGGCCGAGGTTTTGGAGTTCATGGTCATCGTCAGTGGGCTGGCTGATATTGGTGATAGTATTTGTCACTCTATGGAGTGCCTGCTTGTCGAATAGGTTCTTGTTTCCCAGCAAAGGATCTGGAGTGTTTGCACCGGTCGCCGGCGTAGAACATGTTCTGCCATAAGAAAATGACGACCGACCCGAGGCTGGAACAGATTCTCCTGGGTCTTGGTTGTTTTCCCTGGTCGTCAGAATAGTATTAGGGTTCCATTCTGTTTGAATGTGCGGCGGGGCCTGTGGAGGACCGTCCGAGTTGGAATGTGGTTGCCCGTCTAGCATTGTGAGGGAACCGTGGAAGATACAGACCCCGGAGCAACGAAACCTAGAGGGTGAGAAGGATAAATTCAGCGAGGCTCCGACTAGAAAATAATTTATCGGAGAAAAGGGCACACCATTGTGGCGAAAATGGACGAAATATTTTGACGATGATCTAAGACGAGTGGAGATGGTGGAGCCAGTCCATTTGTCGCCCAAAGAAAAATAAAGCCGCGGAGAAGATAAGACTACTGTACTATGCCTTAAGGTAAGGCAGCGTAGATAATACTGTAGCCACTCGGAGTGCGAATAACTGCCACGATCACGATTAGCTCTGCATAGATGAACAGGAATCCCTTGCCGGTGCTTGCGTGTACTGTATCTCAAGCCTGTGGGCACGTATGTCTAGATAACTAGTTTGAGGAAGATCATGTCAACGCACGATTCCTGCCAGGCAAAGTGGAGCCAGGGATGCATTGCCCCTGGGAACTTATGCGTGGCTCAAGCTGCGAGTACGCAGTTCAATTGAACTATGTACTAGTCAACTTCCCTTCTTGGTGACAATCATAAATCATATGGAGCTGTCGAATCCACCAGGAAGGGTGGGTACATACGGGAATCGGTCTCCGAAGGTACAGATCACTCAAGAGTCAAGACTGTGGGCCTGGTAGTACTGGAACAACGCGATGACCATGCTGAAAATCATTACGCATCGTTCAAACAGAGCTTACTATCCCTAATCGACACGGCCCGACCCAATAGTAAAGAAGTCATGCACTCGGTCGGCCTCTCCCTAATAATGCAGGATGATCATGATGATATCCAATGGGAGGCTCGGCATCTCCGACCTCATGGCAAATCAATCCCTAAAATTGGATCAAAATGCATATGGTTTGCGTCACTCACAGGATGCATGTACTCGTCTCTACAAATATCAAGGGGTAAACTGTTTACGCGTCACCCAAGATGTCCTGAATATCTACATTGTTCATTGCTCAAATCCCTCGTCGATCTTGAAGGGAGAGCGATCATCTCCCGAATGAAGTACAAAGTCAACGCTGGCAATTTCCCCTGGAAACCCCCCCCCACTGACATGTGAAATGCTTCGATTCGTCAGACGAACTTGCTATACCATCGTACCTATGGAATGAATTCGGGACGTGACTTTCGCGAAAACTACCTCAGATTCATTATTTGTCATTTCGCGTAACTCGGCTATGTATTTCTATTAAGGGAATTATGATGCGTTCATGATACATGAAGATTGGCCAGATCTTCCACGATTGAATCTTGATTGAGAGAATCAGAAATCTCTTTCCAGCTCCCATCCACTATGATCGTTTTCTGCCAGGTGTGGGTTGGATCATAACAGGTCCCACCACTGGCAACACACTCTTGACAGATATCGAAGTTATTTCCGTCGCAGATACTGCAATGGTAGTGCATATCATATGGAGAGATAGGCTCATCGCACGTATCGCATGTTGCCTCAAATTCTTCCCATTCCTCCCCCACTGAGGTAATTTTTTCACGGTCGATTGGTCCAACCGATTCTTGCTGCAATAGATTCCAGATATTCTGCAGACTCTCGCATTTCACTCCGTGGTCTGATTTCATGTGCATTTCGACAATTGACAATGGGGTGCGGCCTGCACAGGTTGGGCTTTCTTTCGCAGAGCTCCCATAGTGCAGTATTAATTTAACAATCTCCTCCAGGCCGTAATTAGTCGCAAGAAACAGGGGGGTTCGGCCTTTTATGTCGGGCTCATCGATGAATTGCTTGCAGCTCGGGCCGACTTCATCTTGATGCGCATGCTCCAGTAAAGCAAGAACAGTTTCCGCATATCCCTTTGTGACAGCATGGAGAAGAGGTGTCTGGCCCCACGCGTTCTTTACTGATCGGTTCGCATTCCTGCCCAGCAGGAGGCGAACCGCCTCGGTAAAGCCAATTCGTGCAGCAAGCGACAGCGGGGTGTCGGCAAGTGTGTTGCTTTTATTCTCTGTGTTAACATTCTGCTGTAATAGAAGTTTGACGACTTCTGGATTCCGAGACAATCTGCGGGCCCGACATGCCCAGGCCAGTGGTGAATGTCCGGCGTTATCTACTACGTGAGGGTCGGCACCCTCCTCCAGCAGTGTCGACACGATGCGCTCATTTCCACCCTGAACCGCCCAATGTAAGAGAGTCTCATTTCCCGGAGTAGTGAAATTCGTTTTGGCCCCGGCTCGTAAGAGCCGATGAAAGATCGCTGCTTTAGAAAGCCGTGCAGCCCATGCCAAGGGAGTTCCATCCACTGCATCCTCAGTCCCGGGCTCATCAACGTCGGCGTTGTTTGCCAGTAGAATTTCGACGATATTCTCATAACTGTACTGAACGGCAGCCAAGAGCGGTGGCTCTTCATAAACTCGAAAGTCTATCGATAACCCCTTTTCAAATAATAGACTAAGAGTTTCTGCATGTCCATTGAAAACTGCCGAAGATGCGACTGAGTTGCCGAATCGTTCTGTGGCGTTGACATTCGCTCCAGCATCGATAAGGACTCTTGCGTTTTCCGTGAGGCCCGCTTCGACTGCTCTTCCTAATAGGGTCTCTTCACTCCAGAACGGATCGTTCGGGTCAAGGCCAGCATCTAGCATCTTCTTCAAGGTGGATCCTCCGCACAGGCGTACGGCCCGATTGACGCCCTCGCGACGTCCTTGTGTCACGGCCTGGCGATATAGGCGGTGGTTGAAGTTATCATAAAAGTGTCTGCAAGTTCGAGTAAAGACATCTTTCTCGGACAGTGTCTCCAGGGAGTCCCAAATCTCCAGGATCAATTCAAAGGGTAATCCGAGGAGTTCCATGAGTGGGGTCGGGCAGCTCCAGGACCAGAATGGTCATGCCACTCGGCTTGTGCAACCTCGCGAGTGCTTTTGTAGTCTGCGTGAGAAGAGAGAAGTCGATAAAATAGAGAGGATAAGGCTTCTTTCGGGTTCGGGTTGATCTCTTGTCATCGGGGACCGAATGTGGGTTCCGACCGTGGGGAGTTGTTGTTGCGGGATGTGGCGGTGCGGAAGTGAGGCAACAGCAAGAAGAGCCTTGTGAGCCGCATTTGTATGGGAGGCGTACCAAACACAGTCACTACTAGTATGTCTAGTATGATATTGGTTATAATTTCACTCGAGAATCCACTCAGACTCATTTTAACTTTAAATGCTTGCGATGTTTTATTTTGACGAACTACTCAAAAAGAAAATAGCAATATGAGAGTCAAAATATAGGTACCAATACCAGCATTTGATATAGAGCCCTGGAGTCTGCACTGGCATACACTGGCAGCTATCCAATCCACAATTAATAAGAGCAGTCTGGTCATCTATTTCTGTATCTCATCTCAAATTCGTATCTGTCCGCAAAGGACAACGTCCTCCCCAAAGGGATACCACCGGACATTCTTCAAACGCGCAGCGGAGATCGCGTTGCCTTCTCCATCAAAGCGCCGAGCGGGTGACACGATGACTCCGCCTTGTCCAAGCCACGTAGGTGCAATGGTGACGATGACTCGATCGATCAAGGACATGGACTGTGGTTCTAGTAATGAATTGATCACTTGTGCGCCACCTTCAACCATAACACTTCCAAGGCCATTGATATGAAGCGTCTTGAGAAGGTCGCACCAATCAATCCGGTGCTGGCCATCATCCAATGTCACCATTTTCAATTGAAGAAATCCTCCCCCGTATTTTTCCAGCATTTCCTTCTTTTGGACGGGCAGCTCTGGCAGCGAAGTCACAATCCAGGGTGCTAGACCGCGGCCTTGTCTGCAAAGCTGGAATAGCTTACTGTCATCGGAAAAGTCCCACCGGGCACTCGGATCGATTACAATTGGTCGCGGTTGGCCTTCTAAGCCCTCTTTTCCATAACCACCGACACCAGTAAGGCGACAATTGAGACCCGGGTCATCTGCAAGAGCAGTGCCGACCCCGATGAGGATGCCATCGTGTCGAGATCGTAGGTAGTGAGTCATGGCTTTTGATTGAGGGCCTGAAAGCACAGTCCGTGTGCCTGGAGATAGAGCCAACGAGGAATCAAGTGATGTTGCGAATGTAAGAGTCGTGAAAGGCATATCTGGACGTGGGGTTGAGCCATCTCGAGGTGGCAGTTGAGGCTCTAGAAATTCCCTGTCTGATTCAGGGAATTCCAAGGCATCTCGTGAGGCCAATGCCATTTCGTAAGTTTGAATTTTCTGATTGTTTATTATATTGTAAATCAGCCGGGCGCTTCGAGGTTAATATGATTGAAAGAAGATCGAGGGAGGAAGAAAGACGCGGTGGCGGGGAGGTTTAATTCACCGCCTGAAAATCAAGGCAATAAACAAGTTAACTAGTTAACTATGGCTTCCACTACACTTGCTGATTTAGGATTTTGGACTCAACATTGCGGATTTTGGAAGCATAAAATGAACCTTAATCTGGGTATTCGCATTAAAAATGACAGCCTTGGACAGTCTAGCTAGAAGAGATATCTTCTCAAAGTATGCTGATCACGCCGTCACCACAGTGGATGTCAGCAACCCACATCGCACGACCTTTGTCCATGTTTTCCCCGTTCTCAAAGGCATGGAAAACAATCTTGGAGCCATCTGCATTAAAATCAGAACCACCAGGTCCTCCCAGCTCGCCAACGTCACTCGAATCACCCGATACTAGCAAAGGAGCATCGGGGGCCTGCGCCTTGGTATAAGGCCCCGTGAGGGTAGGGGCCGTTGCGTAGCTCACATCGTAATCTTTTGTGCTATAAACATTGGAGGAGAAAGTGAGGTAGTATGTGCCATCCACGTTTGCCAGACTGGGAGCCTCGATCAACGGGCCATCGGCATCATCACGATCCAGAAGTTGGGTTGGATCGCTGTTAGGAGTGACGGCATCAGAATTCAGTCCTTGCAGCATCAAAGGAGTGGAGTCGGATTGGATGCTGTTACCATCCACCTTGTAAACAACATAGTAGGTGTCGCCGTCCTTGAAGCCGTCGGCATCGATCGCACCACCTTGATCTAGGGGGCAGGCCAGGGGACTGTCTTCGGGTGTATAGGGCCCAGTGATGCTGGAAGAAGTGGCCGCACCGACGCAGTGCTTGGAGTCATCGTCTGCTGATGAAGCAGAGAAGTACATGACAAAGGTACCGTCGTCCTGGAATCAGTCAGCCTCGCTACATTGAGTGAAATTCCCAATATCAATTGACTTACTCTCTGGATGACATCGGGAGCCCAGATGGCAGGAGTAGAAGCGACCCAGCTTGGGAAGGGGCCTGGCATGGCATCATTACCCGACAGGAGCTGCCAAGATGCAAAGTCAGAGGATGAAGCAATCTGAACATTCACTCCGTTCCCACTGGTCGCGAAGGCATAGTATCCATCGCCGGTCTGAATGACACATGGATCCGCGAAATCACTATCAATAACACGAGTAGGCTGTGCAACAGAAAATCCATCCATGAGAAGCGCCGAAACGACTGAAAAGAGAAGTGTCGAAGTCATTATGGCGAGTGAGGGTGTCGGTGGTCCTGACTCGGAAGTAATATTGTGCTCAGGTGCGAGTCAAGCAAGGGGTTCCCTGAAGTTTTTATGTTCACACAAAACACTCCAGATACAACGCTCGCATTCAGCTCCCCAAATTAGGCATTGGCAGCTAAATTTACCCCCATGGCTGTGTTGTGGTGTGCAACAACTCCGGCCCCCATCTTTCTCCACCCCCTGAGAGATCGGCATCAGCCACTAAACCGAGGATAAAATGGCCTTTGGCTTCTGCACGATTTACTGGGTTGCCACGATCAGATCTAAAAATCGGTCGAAAAAATGAACACAATTCGGGTAAGAGTAGATGCAAACAGTTTTCCAGTTTTGATCGAAATTATTATCGGTTCTCTTGGTCCCCAGTAATGGACCAGTATGACGCTGCTCGAGCCCCTCGATTGCAGATTCATGATACTGCCTCGCGTTTCAGGGCAGCAATGACGTTGCACTGGCGTGCAGAACCCTTGTCTGGCTCTGCACACATGGCTTGACTGAGAGCTGCTCATCAGGCCTGTCCTGGTTAGGTCTCCATTTTCGATTGGTCGACAATAGTTCCTGCGTTGACCTTATATTCGAACCCCGTTTACAATTAAATTTTCTGATTAAACCAAATCCAGGGAATTTCGATCGCTTTTTTGCAGTATTTTCATATGCATAATTCCGAATAGTATCGTGGATTCACTTGAGGATCTTCAAGTTACCTTCTGCGTTCTATGTCAATAAAATGCTCAGGTGTGCTAGTAAATGCAAGCACAATATCCCCGGATATACTCCGTCTGCCACGTTGAGAAACAGCGAAAAGCCCGTGCCTTTTTCGGCCTAATTAAAGCAGGGTTTCGTTCTTCGAAGTTTATCACGTACAATCTGCAATTTTAGGGTATCTATCCGTGACCCGAGAGGATTGCGTTAAAATTGTCGTTAACCCGACGAGATAGAGATGCACATGAATAGGGATATAGCATTCCCTACCATTTGCTCGAAGTTCGCAATATTCTAATTCGCTCCCCCGTTCTAACTCACAGCTTTGATTCATCCCAGCTAGTACCTGCAGAAGCCAAATATTCCTGCCCTTGTTTGAGAACCTGGCTATTTTTATCCCCCAGCCATTTAGGTTCCAAACTCTGAATCCCATCCTCAATCTCGTAGCTTTCACCACCTGCCACCCAAAGTATTTTCCCAGCGAAAGGAAGGCGAGCACCACCATGTGTCTTTCCACTCTGGCCTCGGTTTGCTGTGGCACAAATCAAGATTGATCGCGCAACATCTTCCGGTTCGTTCGCGGGTAATCCTTTCTCGTACCAACCCTTTTCAATGCCGCGAACCAGACGCGTCTCTATACAAACGAACAGTTATTATAGCCCGGAAAAAATCACAAATTTGATAAAGGAACACTTACTGGTCATCCAAGGACAAATCACATTAACCCTGATGTTTTCCGGGGTAGCTGTAAGATGTAGGCCCCGCATGATCCCCACGACACCATGCTTGCTTGCCGTGTACGCAACCAAGCCCCCACATTCCTTGAATCCAGCAATACTGCTAACGAGCACTAAATCCCCACCCCCGCTCCGTCGGAGGTAATGCATCCCGATACGAGCAGTGAACAGAGCCCCAATTGTATTGACCTCTACCTCTTTCATCGAGGGAGCTTCGTTGATGTCGGCATTCGGATCAAAAGGGTCTTTGTGAATGGCAATGCCTGCATTGGCAATGACTATATCCACTCTTCCGTGCTTCTGGAATGCAGTTTTGAAGAGATTGAGTTGGTCTGAATAATTTGCGGAATCACACTTGAAGAATTGTGCGTTCGGACTAAGCCTGCATTCGATTTCTCGCGATGGTGCTTCTGCAACGTCGCCAAAAATGACCTTTGCTCCATTTTCTGGCTTTCTGTTAGAGGTTTTCATATTGTTGGGCTGCATGGTTCTTACCGCAAAGTTGCTGAATGCATGAACGGCCGATACCAGTTGCGCCACCGGTCAGCACAACGACCTTGTCATTCAGTGATTCGAGTAGGGAAGGGTCAAAATGAATATGCGTCATTTTTCAGTTCGCAATTTGAAGATAGTTCTAGAATATACAGATAATATGGAAAGGATGTTCCCCAGGTCCGATCACTGCTCTTTAAATAATGCTGAAGTGGTGCACTTGACCCCACATCTCCGATCAACAGGCTTCCCTGGTACAATATTTACCACTACTAGTACTTGAGATGATTCAATGTTTGTGAAAGAATGGTTATTTTATTATGATCACTGCTCGGCTTTCTCTTTCTGCGCAAAAGTATTGGAAAATTCTTGCATATATACGGTCCTGAATCAAGCACGTCCGTACCTTGACCCTGCTATCATCGCTTCATGCTCCTAGCAGCTATATCCTCACTATCATGCACCCGGAATATTTCAACCTCAAGAATCCTATAGCACAGTCCTACTATTACCATCCTTTGGGAGGGAAAATGGTGGTCTACTCAGAAATAATTCCGGAGGGTGGGTCCCTTTCCCATGCGGGGCCCCATATTCTCCGGCCAGAGAGGAATAGGCGAACACTCTTCGTGGATCTAGGAATAAAATAGTATCAAGGTTTTCTAGTGTTTTCTAATTGGAATTTTCTAGGACTTCATGCGGTGAAATTCATTGTGTATTTCTACATACGGAGCAATATTCCGGATACCACTTGCTCAAAACGCCACCGTTCACAAGAAAGAAAAGCTGGATTAGATCCAGTATCAAATACTGAGTAAGTCTACCTAGCTCCACAGATCAAATACGACAGCGCGGACTTTGACGCCTTCCGGAGGGTACCCTTGACACCTAGTCCATGTCTCACGGGTTCTGGAAACGGCAATGAGTAGTAGGAATTTGGATCCGCGGCTTCAAGCCAATCAATATCGCCTCGGGCAAGCCGGTCATTTCTTATGACCCAGCGTCTATGAGCAGTCCTCGATGGCCATGAATGTCTGTTGAAAATTATACTGACATTTTCTGAGCTAGATGGCTCTGAATGTCTGTTAACAATCATGCTGACATTATCCGAGCTGAGGCTGGGAGCATCTTCCGGTTCAGCTGTCATGACTTGACGCAGTGGAGACAGGCGTGGTAGTCCCGTTTTGTTCCTGAGGGCTCGTTTCAGCTCTCCTTCTGTGGTTTTGACCTTATTGTAGTTAACCTTGAATTGCTTCCATGATGTAATGTAGCTCTGTGAAATGAATCCGTTTCCTACTCCGTAGTTCATGATGTAGTTAGTGACATTGCCATCATCGATTTCAGTTCTGTCATTCGCTGGTACCTGCTGTGACATCCACAGACCGTGGGGTGTGTAATACTTAACAACATGGCCCTTCATTGTATCGTCGAGATTATAACGTCGCTGAAGCTGGTTAATGAGGGCAGAGCTTTCAGGGGTATCAAAATCAATGAGAACAGGATCAAGATACAAGTAAGCTTGATGCAGGACCGTATGAATACTAAGGTTAAGATCGGGATTTGTGACTTTGGGCTTAGACATAATGATTGCGAGAGATATCTCAGGAGGAGTCGAGCTAGGGCCGTATACAGCCGTCCCGAACCAGTTGTAATGGTGGATATTGCTATCCTCCTTTGTCAGCCACTGTCGTCTATAGAACTCGGCACTCACAGCATCTTCTTCTGCTTTGCTCATTGCTAGATGAAATATATGGTCAGTTTCAAGGTCTAAAATTGCCTCATCCAATGGTTCCATATCGCTATCGGGAAACCCTAAGCGCCGTAAAAACTCACCCTCTTCGTCATCCTCATCTACTTCCGAGATTGTGGCTTGCTGTGAGAGACGCTCAAACTCGATGTCATAGATCATCTGATCCAATGGCTCCAACTCACTATATGGTATACAAGTATAGCCGTTAAGACGTCCCTTGTTTGCAAAAGAGTAGGGGGGAGTCGTGCTCGGTCGTTCGACCTCGGAAGAACAAATGCCACCTTCGGACTCAAGTTTCTCACCATCGTGGTACTTGACGTCAAAACCTGAAGAATCCATGATCCTGTGTGTGAAGGTATCGGCAGTCGAAGAGGCGAGGGTCAAGGTCGATTCTTATATGTTCCTCGTTTCTTGGCGTATGGTCGGCGAGCCTCTAGCACAATGGAATTATCAGTTCATTGTTTGTAAAAGAAAGGCTTGCCTTGTTCGTATGGGCTCATTGTGTGTAGCCTCTAGATTCAAATTCAATGAGAAAATCCTAGTCCATAAAGACAAAGACTACGAAAGAAACAGATTGATTATTTGCGCCACGACAAGGTGAGGCTATCTTCACGTGGTCGAGCTTGCCCAGGTGCTGCATCCATCCTGCTTCAAGAGTGCTTTGACACTTGGTCATTTGGAAATGGACACGGCTATGAGCTTCGCATATTCTAGTGTTCTCCGAAATTGGAGCCAGTTCCGCATCTAAATGAATGAGAGGTGTTTGGTTTCTGCTTAAAGCGATAAATTCGACTCGTCACTTGCGGCTATCGATCTGCTTGAGTACAATCTTGTTTCGAAGACAAAGGCGGTAGTGGGAAGGGGTATCATATCCGATCTCTTTGTTCATTATTCCGGGCGGTGGTCAATGGCCTCAGAAGAGACGCTTCACTTTCTCCGACCGATCTTGGCTTTCGCCCCATCTGTCCTCCCACATATTTCGCTCAACATACCGCCACCCCATGGGAGGCCCCATGCCCCATCGATTCTTCATCTCCGTCAACGTCACTGGGCGGATCAGCTCATGGAGTTCGAGCACGGGGTATCCGAACTTCGACTGCTTTAGCCCGGCGTTGAATTCCTCGTTGCCTATACCGAAGGGCTCGGTAGGCACAGAACCGGGTTCATGACGCGTGGTAAGGGGGATAACCGCGATGTGTCTGGGCATAGATCAGTATGGGGGAAAGTGGAGGGGAGTTGGAAAAACTCAGACAGAAAGTACATGTAGTTGTCTGAATGGAAGTGGAAGGGTAGTTGAAATAAACTCACGTAATAGAGGCCTGGCCCTGGCCGCCGTCGCTCGTCTCGTAGAACCATAGACGTCTCACTCCATCACGAAGTCGGTACTTGCGGAATTCGTGGTTCTTCTGCTGGCTGATGATGTTCCCAAGGTGCACCGGCCGGATGGCCATTAGCACATCGGTGAGCACTCGATCAGAGGCCTCTGGGCGGGTCGACTTGGCCTTGGACTTGGCTTAGATGGAGGTGACTTCTTGGAGACTCGAGCCGCCTTGTCGAGTTTGGGTGGGGTGACAGTAGGAGAGCCTTTGATGAAGCAATCATTCAAAGTGGTCTGGGTGAATGAAGTACCACTGGCTAGTGGAATATGCGAGGGCGCCATGTTGGTTAAGGTCGGGAAAGTATTGAAGGGTGAAATAAGTGATGGGTAGATGAAAGAGAGATAGAGAGACGCGAAGAGAATGTTTGAAGAAGTTGACGTGTTGCACGTGTTGAACGTACATGACAAACAAACTAAGGTGCACCTAAATGCGCTACAAGGAAACCACGATCCACGGGTACTGCTAGGCACCACTCCTACCGTACCTGCCCTAACTGCCCCTGCCGCCACCCAGAAGGGTCCCCGTCAACTTAAGGTTCCCAAAGTTATGCCCATGCTTGTCCTTCCATAATCACCTTTCGTAGATACTCCACTGAGAATGTTCTGAACAGCTTTCTGGGATCTTCAAGCCACCCTTGCACTTCTTCCCACAGTCTTCTCAATCCCTCCGCCCCCATCATCGCCGAAGTGAACCTTCAACTGGGCAAAGCTGCAGAGTCCCTCAGTTCCGAATAGCTCCATCGCCTGATACCCACCGTCACGGACATACAAGCTCTTGAAAAGCTTCGCGCCACTCCAATCTACAATAAGTGGCGCATAGATGATATGGGGTGTTCTTCCTGCCGCCAGCCCGGTGGCTCTCGACCAGCCCGCTAACGGACGATAGAGCAAAGCTTCCTGGTACATACCGGCATAATCCGAGCCCGTGATGCGCACATGATGTGTTCTAGTATCTGAGCATCTAGCTCATGCTACGAATGAGGTTGCGTGCTGGGGCGTTTGCTTCTAGACAGGCAATTTCGCCAGGGTCAGACGTAGAAATGGTGTGCCGGCCATGGCGTGGGCAATGAAAGGCAATCATAGAGTCTGAATTCTTGGGGGATTCAGTCTCGCTGTTAGTGTTGGTCTCCTCACTGTACAGATTGAGGCGGCCATGTTTCTCTGCCAAGCCACAGCCAAGGACAGGGCAAGCAGCACGTAGGGCAATCTTGCCATACTTTGGGGAAAGCTGGTGGCCTAGGGTCTCATAGTGAGCGATAATGTAGCGGAGGAGAGACGGCATGACAGGCTGAGAGAAGAATTCCGACTGAAAGGTGGTCTCGAACGGGATGTCAGACCAGGTAGACAGAAGCTGAATAATCTGACCATAATCTGCCATATGGGTGTTGAGGGCTTCGGGGACATCCCTGTAAGATTTCTGGTATTGTATTCCTTCGATTGAGGTTTCGTGGCCTGGGACTGGCGCGGTGTCAATGAAAGTGATCTCGACCGAGACGGCCGGCGGCTGAAGTTCTGTACCAGTTACCGTAGCTCGCATTCGATCGCGGATCGCTCGAGCAAGCGAAAAGGCATAGCAGAAAACGATGATGGTGCCGGCGTGAGGAGAGTTGTTTGGCTGCGCTCCAGCATGAAGAACAATGGGGCGAGTTGGAAGCTGAGCATCACATGGTGAATAAATCTTGGGAGGTGTTACTTTCATGCTAAGCAAAGGCTCTTTTTCACCATTCGAGAGAATCTCATCGTTCATGAGAGCAAACAGAACAGGCTCAACGACGTCTTTCTGGAAGGCATAGGAGCCACCGCCGAGCGGATCATGCACGCGGCCATCATGGAAGGTTGCAAATACCGGGCTCTCGGGTCTGAGAGTAGAGACGAGAGTCTGGACAGCATACAGTACTTCCCTGGGGCTGCTTGTTTGTAGCGGAGTCGAGGAAGACCCTGTCTCATCCGGGACCAACGGAGTAAGTAGTCCGATCAGATTTTGGGCTGCGATGGAGCAAGGGTCTGGGGAAGAAGCAGGTTGTTTCTGGATCGGACCAATCGCCATTGTGACACCTTGATCAGCAAGGTCTCGTAAGGAGGTGAAGGTGGAGGTGGGTGTAAGTTCTCAAACGATGCATCTTCGTGGCTGTTTGTTTTGATATCGCGGTGGGTGTGAAAGTGGAAGGCACGACCAAGCCCCATCTCCATCCTCACGGCAAGAGCGATGGACATCCCATCATAGTACTGACTCGGAGTACAATAGAACCATGGCAGCTACTAGTATTCAAGCTTATAGCGGTGATCTATAGAACTTGAATTCTTCGCTATTGCCAGTGGTATGACAATAGACGGTGGTCTATCATAAGGAAGGTATATCACTGTAGTAATATGTCAATGCTGAATTTCTAAACTTGCCTACCTAGGTAGACCATGTAGGAAGAGCCTTCATCAAAAGGAATGGCGAAGTCGAGTATTCGATGGCTCAGTTTGTTGGACGTCCGGAGCTTTTCGAAATTATTTTGATAAGTCGACCGTGACTGGTTGCTATATGAGCAGTCCAAGGGTTGAATATTTACTACTACTTAGGTAGTACCTGTAAATATACCTAGGTAAGGCTCCGCAAAAGTAATGGTTAGTAGTACAATAACCCGCTAACCAACTCACTTACTAGATCCACCAAATATTTACAGAAGAGAGTAGCCCACGGGTAATCCATAATTTCTGAGCTGAGATAATAAGCCTTTCAAGGTTTAATCTTCGGAAATAACCTTGGAAATCTGGATCCCAGAACGAATTTGCAATATTGGAACTTCCGAATCCGGGGAAAGACACCTCCGGCCTAGAGATCAGGATATATACTAACACTGCACTCATCACGCCCGCTCTGGCAGCATAGTACCCAACGGCCCAAATTGAAGTAATCGAGATGCCAGTCGGGCAACACTAGAATGGAGATAACTTGATATACAATGAAGTTGGACCCCACCACAAATTCCAAACACCGGTGCAATTCTAGTCCGATAGTATGTAACTTCAACCCCGGGGAGAAAGCCGAGGCGCAACTATTAACCGGTTACATAAGCCGATATGACGCCAGACATCCCCGCACACCTTGAGGGGCCTTCTTCGATTTTCTTTACAATTCGGCCGACATCCTACTTCTAATTCCCTCGATGAACCATCTCAGAGCTTGCGGTAGATCAATTCAACTTCTGCAACAACTCTCGACCCACCCGCGCGCCTCGCCACTCACAGCAACCCCCAATCCACTTACCCGTCCACTACAACCTACCATCCGACGCACCATGGCTTCCGCAATGGCCAAGCGCCTCGAAGGCAAGACAATCCTGGTGACTGGCGCCTCATCCGGCATCGGCGCCAGCACCGCGAAAGAATTTGCGCGCACGTCGCCGAAGAACCTTAAGCTTATCCTGACGGCGCGCCGCATTGATGCCCTCAATAAGGTTGCTGCTGAGATTAAGGAGGAGGTTGGTGATGGCGTGCAGGTTCTCCCTGTTAAGCTGGATATTAGCAACCCGGAGGAAATTAACAACTTTGTTCCCTCTCTGCCGGCGGAGTTTAAGGAGATTGATGTTCTGGTCAACAATGCGTGAGTCATGGAATCTATTAAGCTCCATCCCCATCCTCCCATTTACATGAATCAACCCGGTTGTATGTACTGACATTGGCTCTGTAGCGGTCTGGTCAAGGGCGTTGCCCAAGCCCCTAACATCGCGGCCGAGGATATGAAGGTCATGTTCGACACCAACGTGACCGGTCTGATCAACATGACCCAGGCGGTCCTCCCCATCTTCAAGAAGCGCGACGAGGGCGGCCGCGGCGACATTATTAACCTCGGTAGCATTGCCGGCCGGGAACCTTACCCCGGTGGCGGTATCTACTGTGCGACCAAGGCCGCTGTCAAGTCCTTCACCGAGGCCCTGCGCAAGGAACTGATTGCCACGAGAATCCGTGTCATCGAGGTCGACCCCGGTCAGGTTGAGACCGAGTTCTCTGTTGTGCGGTTCTACGGTGATAAGTCCAAGGCTGATGCCGTCTACGCGTGAGTAGTCATCCACCTGCTGCTTGGATTACCTCTGGTAAATTGGGTTGTCAGGAACAGGGCAGGCTAACGGATATATTTTTTTTCTTCAGGGGCTGCGAGCCGCTTACCGGTGAGGACATTGCTGAGGTTATTGTCTTTGCTGCTGGACGTCGTGAGAACGTGGTTATTGCTGATACGCTGGTCTTCCCCAGCCACCAGGTATGTCTAGGCAATTTCTCTGAACCCCATACACATACATCGGGACTAATTATCGGTTCAGGCTGGTGCCGGCACCATGCACCGCAAGTCTTGAGCTTGCTGTATTACAATCTGGATATAGGTGAATATGAGATAGATAGCATTTTCTAGAATGGCATGGTTTCACGATACCTAAGTCTGAATGCAATTGATAGGTGGTTGTCTTACCCCTCATGCAGCGCTGTAGAATCATGTGAGGTGGTGCCGTACGGCGTCGACGAGGACGATCAACCTGGGCGTTCCACTTCCTTGATTGTGCAATTGAGGATCTTCAGCTACGGGAAGAAGAGATGCGTGGCATATGTACATGCGATGCGATGCGATACGGAGTAATTGGTAGCTGTCCCACCTAAAAACCTTGAAGATAATCATACAAATCAAATAAACAGCCGAGCCGCACCAGCCGATATCATCTACGTAGTTCCAGTCCAGTTATGATCCATGAACTAACTAGCGCCCATAGCGCGATGTGACAGACCACACCACACAAAGTGGAAGCACCAATTGGTCTGGGCTGCTCGTTCCTCGCAGCACTCATGGAGTGCAAGTTACCCCAATCGAAGATCTCCTGCTGAAGAGCCGGGATATCATCCCACTTGAAGATGCGCTCACCACCATCAACCTGTTTCTGAAGCAGGGCTAGAACATCCAGGGCCCAGACCCGACAGGTCTGAGTCGGGTGATTTAGTCTTGCATCTAAGGAGCGAAAAGTCCGATCTAAGTGGGGGTGCTGGTGGGCTGGGACATCGGCGATGCGAAAAAGACCCACGAGCAAAAACTCCTTCATGATAGCGGCGTTGGCTCCATGATCGGGGATCCACCCGGGTCCGACAGTCTTGATGTGGTACTTTGTGCCTCCGGTGATGGGGTTTTGGTGGAGGTAGAGGCCCCAGTGGAAGTCGTTTGCTTTTGGTGGGTCGTTGCGCGTAAAGAGGAGGACATATAGACTGCCGAGTCAGAGGTCTGGTGGATCCAACTTAGGGTCGATCATATCGCTGGGGGTTGACGTGTTCGGTTTGGTTTGGGGGGTAGGAGTATGTTTGTACTCTGTAGTGTGGGTGGGGATAGGATAGACAGAACAGTAAAAACTAGACATGTGTTTGTAGTCTTTGCTGTCACTGCTTCTGCTAAGACTAGTACACGGCGATGAGGGGATAAATGCGTGGTATTTGCAGGAAACAGCTTGTCCAAACTGCCAGCGAATGTCTCACAGTTCATTCAACATGACCTGCATCACTACTGACAGCGAACAAAGAATCGCCAGTGTGGATTGAGTCAAAAAGGGCCACCTGCCGGAAAGCGACAGCTGCAGGGCTTTGATCTGCCATCGCCCGTGTGTCGGACAATTGATGGATCATATCTGCAGGAGTTCTGTATGACATTGAGTTTGTTAGTTCTCTTACAAAGTGTGTTGAGAGATTTGTACAATGATGCAGACTGCAGTACAGGGGAATTGAATTGAGTTTTGCTGGCCCATGGATGAAGTTGGTGTGGCTGACAGCAGAGGACAATGAGAGCAAGAACTTTAATCTAAGCAATATAGGTTCACACACAAAAAAAAATAGAAATTAGAGAGAAAATCTAATATGATTCTGCAGACCCGACCATAGCCAGGACCCTGGCCACGATATTCGGACAGCAAGAGATCTGCAGGTTTTGCATATGTCAACCACGATGTGGGTAAAAAGGATGGATTAGGATAGGTTTAGCGGGGCGGTAAAGGAAAGTGTGATTGATATACGAGTACATATGTGATGTGTGATGAGTGATGAGAGTATGGGGATGGGGAGGGATGGGGATAGGGTGCAATTCCCACAGATTCCCACATTTCCACATTTCCACATTCCCACCGCCGCGCCGGGATGATGTAATGAGCATGCAAGGCGGGCTCCTCCTGCAAGCCATTGTTATTCCATCCATGCTGGGTGTGGGTGTGGTGTTGGTGTGTGCTTTGGTGCCCGAACCTGCAACCGCCCTTGCATGGAAAAGAAGTCGGGAATAGAAGAGTGGGGAAGAGAAGAGAATCCTCGGTATCCTAGGCATCCTAGGCTTCATGAGGGATCCCTAAAGAAGAAGTGGTAGTGGCCAGCCCCATTGCGCCCGTCACAACATCACAGCGCTAGGCGTGTGAACTAACCCGATGCCCTAGACCCATTCTCCCTTCTGCCTTCTCCATTCTCCATTCTCCCCACCGATCCACTAGATGTCAAGGACTCGAGCTGTACCTACCTACGAGTAACTACTCGTAGGAGGGAGTCAAACTACGGAGTGCTCTCTGGCAATAAACTAAGCAAGCCAGCCAAGACATTTATATGATGGGAGGAGCCACGGTTGGTCCAGGAGATTAAAACGAACCAGACTAGACCGAAAAGAAAGCAAATAAATGAAATGAAATGAACTCCTAAGTCCAAGTTCCCAATCCTAAGTTCAAGTTCCTCCTAAGTTCCGCAGTACCAACGCCATCCCATGCCCCTGAGTCGTTATCACCAGCATAGTAGCATAGCATTAGCATTAACATGAACATTAGTATTAGCATCTTTTACTTTACTATTTTCTATTCCATCCTACCTAGAGAGATAAGTGTAAATAATTCTCATCCAATACACTACACTACACTACACTACTACTCCACTCCACAGCAGTCCAAGTCCAGCCTTTCCCTTTCTTTTCTCTTCCCGCCTTGAGAACCTCCTGATTTCCCCTTTCCCTAAAGGTTCCCCCTAAAAACACCCGCACCTTTTGGTTTACCTGGGATTATCTTGGACTCTCCCCGAGTTTTATTTTTATTTTTATTTTGCATTAATATTTATATTTATTTGGGGTTTTTTCTATTATTCCAAACCCCCTCCAACCCCGTGGTGAACCTTGGTCCTCTCGCCGCTCTCTCGCATAATTTGATCGGCCCCTTCGATCTGATCTTCCCTTTTCCGACAATCTTCTCTTCCCCCCCCCCCTGTCGCCTCTCCCCGACCTTTTGTCACCATAATTCTTCTTCCAAAATGGCTTCCAAGGTAAGTTCAATCCTGTTCCTGTCATGATATCTCGTCGGCTTCCTTCCCAGGACCTGCTGCCTCTGCCTCGACCTCTGCCTCCGCCTCCTCCGCCCCTCAGTTCCCATCCCATGCGAACCAACCAGACCTCCCCCAATGCTTGATGACCCATTCGCTAATCACGCCCTGCTTCCCATTCATAGTTCCTACGAGAGTACAAGCTAGTCGTCGTCGGCGGTGGTGGTGTCGGTAAATCATGCCTGACCATCCAGCTGATCCAGAGCCACTTCGTGGACGAGTACGACCCAACAATTGAAGGTGAGCCGCTGAGCCCAGCCCTGTTCAACACCCTGCAACGAGTTCCCAATCGCTCACCTCGTCCGCTACCCTTCCAGATTCCTACCGCAAGCAATGTGTGATCGACGATGAGGTTGCTCTGTTGGACGTCCTCGACACTGCCGGCCAGGAGAGAGTACTCCGCGATGCGAGAACAGTATATGCGAACCGGCGAGGGCTTCCTGCTCATCTACTCCATCACTTCGCGTCAATCATTCGAAGAAATCATGACCTTCCAACAGCAAATCCTGCGCGTCAAGGACAAGGACTATTTCCCCATCATCGTCGTCGGTAACAAGTGTGATTTGGAGAAGGAGCGTGTGGTCTCGGAGCAAGGTGCGTTGAATTTTCCTTCTCCCCTCTCCCTCGGTGGACGTGGATGCCCGGGGAGCAAAGCTTCCCTCCCATCAGGAGCGAGTCTGAGATAGCTAACACACTTACAGAGGGTGAGGCCCTAGCCCGCCAATTCGGCTGCAAGTTCATCGAGACCTCCGCCAAGTCCCGCATCAACGTCGAGAACGCTTTCTACGACCTCGTCCGTGAAATCCGCCGCTACAACAAGGATATGGCCTCCTACCCATCCGGCTCGGGCGCTTTCGGTGCTCGCGCCCCTGAGGGCAAGATGGATGTCAGCGAGCCCGGTGAGAGTGCTGGCTGCTGCTCCAAGTGTGTCATTATGTAAATTTTGACATGCCACGCCCAACCCCTTCGCCTATCTCAAAAGCAATGCAGACTTCCCCCATACGATACGACAGATCACCGAGTACGGGAGAATTTAACATCCGAACGAACGAGTTACAAATAAAGAACGGGCTAATGGGAATATTGTGGAATTGACGTATGTGTGTGGGATACGTCTGTTGCATGTGTTCGTGAAATAATGCATTCAGATTGAGGAGATGATGCGCTGAAGAGTCGAGGGGGGAGGAAGAAGCTTGGAAATTCAACAGCGCGAGATCACGGACCTGGGAAGGGGAAAATAATCGAACCAACAACAAACAACGAAAAACGAACGAGGCGAAACCAAAAAAAACCACCAAATTATCCCGGGAAAAGAAAAAGACAACACCCACCCTACCCAACTCCCCTTCCCTCCGAAACCCAAAAAAAGAAGAAGCAGGTGGTTGTTCGTCGCTGCCCGGATTTCAATCGCGGGTTTTATTCATCTTCCCCCGACGTTTTCTCGCGCAATGACGAGCCAACATCTTGACTTGACGCCAACCTCGTCTCACGAATTTTGATTCCCCTTTTGTTTTTGTCTTTTGTTATCCGCCTGCGGCTCTTAATTCTTTACTATTTTTTTCATTTTCCAATTTTCCTTTTCACTATCTGTTCATCTTATATTTGCGAAAGAATTGTGTGTCCACGTCATCATCCCCATTTTGTCTATCATCTTGTCTGTCTCGATTGCGAGACAGCATGGCTGTCAATATATTTTCCTCGGAGGGGTTTCTTCCCACCGATGTTTCTGGTGTGTTCTTTTGTCCATTGTCTCGTCTTTCCAGCTCGTATGATATAATATCCATGGATGCCAGATCGAAGCATCATATACTGCACCGTGCAGAAGATAATACTTCAGTATATCCGATGAATGAGATTGGCCGTGTTGAACATTCAAGGTTGTATTACTAATTTTGAGCCGATACTGTTGTACATCATGATGCTTTTCATACTTTCCCCAAGGTCTACACTCCTGCAGGGTCTTTGCTGCTTACTACTAGTAGGTATTCAAAAAGCCTGGGCCTCATGGATATCCCGAAATGTACTAGAAACCCTCAGCCCTCGGCGATGAGAACACTAACACAGTACAGTCGCTTGCAAAAGCGGAACCAACTCCAAAGCGTGTATGATATGGGACTCTGAATCTGGGATACATGATGTGGAGCAACTGGCAAGACCTCGACGATAATAAATTGCCAGAAATAAACCGCGGATTGAAACCAGAAGACCCATGAATAGAATCCACCTTTGAAACATTAACTTGAAAAAACGTACTGCCCAGGTGTACCCCCTGGCCACCTTCAGAGCCCTAAAGAACCTCAGCGCTTGCGACTAAGTACCACTGCAACCTTCTTTCCACAATCATTCTCATCGCTAGCGTTATCCTAAACCTAAGCATCCCCAACAATAGCAAGCTCTGCTTCCATTTCTCGCTCGAGTTCCGCACGCTCGTAGGCATATGCAAAGTCACGATCGTCACATTTCCTGCGATATTCTCTGCTGTTGTCCTCGCGCTCTCGGACTGATTTCACAATATTGTCCTCGCAAGATCGGGAATGCTCAAGTTCTTCATCCTCGCGCATTCGGCGGTATTTCATATCGAGCTTCTCAAGCTTCATACTGGAATCCTCGTTCCGGCGGGCACGTTTCGCAGGTCGGTCAACAATCACCTCGATCTCGGTGTTCGGGTCTTCCCTTCTGGCCGGACTTTCTTTGGTCTTGTCTTCGCTGGCAGGTTCAGATGGTAGACGCTCGAAGATACTAAAAAGAGAGACAGATAGAGAGAGTTAGTCGGTTAACGGGCGAAGGACTTGAACCCTGTAGCAAGATTCAAGGGGAAGCAGCGGCCACTCACTTATATCCTCGGGGACATGGTTCAACAGTTAACCCCGAATATGCAAGCGTGTCCTAGATCAGATGCAGCATTAGGATAAAAACGAATAAAGCCCAAGCCAAGCGTCCTGTGACGCTTCCCACTCACAATATGAACACGATTGATATGTTGCCGAATTTCACCACCCCGGTGTCTCAACCTTCTGGACTGAAACGCGCAGTACGGGCATCGTACCGCACATGATGGTATACTCTAGAGGCATGGGGATGGTGCGTAAGTATCCTTTTGGGATTCATTGTTCGGGAGCCGAAACAGAACGTACAATCTCTGCATGGGTTTTCGGCCACCAGTCGAGCAGTACGTGTTGATCTGGTGGGCAATTGCAGACAGTGTCATCTCTGTAGAGGTTAGTGAGTCCATCCCGGGATGTAAGGTAAGAGGAGCTTGATTATTGGAAAGAACTTACACCCATTCGCGTCTGGTTTGGGTTTCCTTTAGCCGGTAGTGTATAGTAGTGGAGGTTTCGGGATCCATGATGAAACTGCCTTCTTGAATGGATGGAAGAGTCCGTCTATTGTGGATAAGAGATTACTGCCAGTGAAAATGAACGTGATGTTCTGGAGGCTGGGCTGGCTGCTCCTTTTCCTTCAGGTTCTTTGTACGTGGTTGACTGCTGGATATTCAGAGTAGCGTGGAATGAAAAGGCGTAGACAGACAATTGGAATTTGAGGCAGAGAAACCTTGGAAGGTATTGAACAGAGATTTGAAATTGATTGGAAGAAGTGGATGAGGGGAAAGTGATGTGGTTGAAGAGCGAACGGAAGCAGTTACTTGGGCTGGCAACCTTGGAAGTGAGGGTCAAGGCCGACCGATTGCCTGCTGGGTAAGCCTTCAAGTTCCCTTCAGGTTCCCTAGTATATAAAAGGATGTCAAGATTGTAGTAATAAATATATATTCACATTGGAAATCTATTGCAGCCCAATGCTGCTCAATCAAACAAGCCCGGTATGATACAGATATACAAACCTACTGGCTATAAACACGATCCTCCTCATCAACAGGATCCAGCTCATCTTCCTTCGAAACACGCTTACCCTGTACAGCAGTCTCGACCTCAGCAACTAAAGATTCGAGATACTCCTTGTTCGCACCGACCAGCGTAACGGTGTTACGCTTCTTCCCCCAGCGCGGGTAACTACCGACCTTGATACCATTGGGCTCAACCTTGGCAGCAAGCTCGGTCAAGTACGGCGCGACCGCACTCTCAGGCAAAGGCGTGCTGAAGAGGAAACGGTGGGTTCCCTTGCCCTCAGGGTCAGATAGGCGGTGGGTAAGGTGCGGCTTCAGGTGGTCTAGTAGTCGCTCGAAGAGACGCGGCACGCCGGGGAGGATGTGTACGTTGCCATTGACGACAGAAATGGGGACCCATAGATCCTCGGAGACGAAGAGGGCTTGGTTCTCTGCGGGGATATTCTCGTCAAAGGGCATCTCCACCATGCGCAGCTTAGCTGTAAGGCCTGGGGATGGGGTCTCCCAGTCGAAGTTGGGCTGCATGGGGTGCGGCTTGGAGAGCTTCTTCATGCGCTCGAAGGCGGCTTGGTGTAATTGCAATTTCAGGTTGAATGCCTTGGCGATCGATGAGTAGGTGATATCATCGTGTCTGTTGGGAGTATTCGGTATTAGTTGGTGTGTAGGTAGGTGTGCGCAGAGGGCAATTCGCGATCCAGTTGGGTCGAGGCGAAATGGGCACCGGGTGTAAGGGTACTGACGTTGGACCAATGCCTCCACTGGTGACGACAAAGTCGTAACGGGCACTCATGCGGCGCACTGCCTCAATAATGTCCTCCTCATCGTCGGGGATGACCTCTACCCTCTTCAGTTGAATGCCGAGACCGAAACAAAACTTGGCCAGGTAGGGGGAATTGGTATCGATTGTCTGTGGGTGGGAGGTGGTCAGCACAACCCTTCTACAGGATACCCCATGCGCAGTTTCTTACCTTTCCACCGAGCACCTCATCACCGATGATGAGGGCAGCCGCGGTGTGGATGGGCTTGGTGAAATTCAGGGCGGCTGATGTCATAGCGGGCGGAGTTGCGGGCGAAGCCAGCGGAGAAAGGGCCGGGATGGTCGGACGAGAGGGACTGAAGGACGGGAGGTGCTGTTTCAGTAGATTTAAACGGTTCAGCATGGAGAGGGTCTTTGAGGCAAGCTGGAGTAGCGATGAAGGGCGGAGATGGAGATGGAGATGGAGATGGAGATGGAGATGGGAAGTGGGGAGGAGGGGGAACTGAACAAGGGGAAATCACTCCGCCCGCATTTTCATCCTGCGCATCCTCCTCACATCTTTCCACCTTGGTGATTCCTGGCTCAGAACTATTCGATTAAGATATTCATTGGAAGCCAGAATTTTTGGTGTTGCCCATTCCATCAGATCTATAGTTCCCCCTCTCTGTCGAACTCTTTGTTCATCATATCTCCAACATGGTAAGCCTTCCGAACCCCGCGCCGCGCGTGGGCATCGGAACCAGATCAAGATAGCTAACGCCCTCATCCACTAGACTGATTCCCGGTTATACTCATTCTCCCCCGGAGACAAAAGAGCAGCTGCGCAAGTTCCGTCTCACCACCTCTCGCGCAAAGGATGCGCAAGCTAGAATCTGTACGACCTCGTGATCTCCTTCCTAATGCCTACCTTCACCTCCACCCCGTCTACCTTGGATATATCACATCATACCATCAACTTGGATCACCGTTTCAAATTCCGCAGCAGAAGAGTCGCTGATTTGACCCTGCAGATATCATCGATGCGAAGAACCAGGAAATCCGCGCACAGGATGACGAAGTCTACACCAATATGGAGGACCTTGCCGATGACCTCCCGGAATCATCGCCTCGCTTCATTCTCCTCAGCCACCCTTTGACATTGGTGAGTCTGTCACTGTCGCTGTCACAGTCTACCCTGTTATGGTCCCTGACTAATATAATAATGTTTTGTAGGGAGATGGCCGTGTTTCCGTCCCTTACGTCATGCTCTACTACATGCCTGTGAACTGCAACCCATCCCAACGAATGATGTACGCCGGAGCCGTGGAGTTGATGCGCAATACCGCAGAGGTCAACCGGGTCATCGAAGTTCACGAGGACGAGGATATTATTTCCATCAAGTCCCAGCTGGGCGGCACCGACTAGATATATGAAGTGAGATGCAAGGCGCTTATGACCCGCCAAAGAGTCCAAGTTGATCATCCTGATCGGCAATGTCTATCAAGGATCTCTGAGCGAGAGCGAGAGCGAAGGAATTGGAGTCTTTCATACATATAGAGCAAGGCGTTGATTGAGGCCGGTTACCGTGACTGCGCTACCGGATCATATGACATGTCGACCACAACCAGAAACTTTTTTGATTTGATATACATATTTGAAATCATCATCGCGGGGGTAGCGTGGAGAAAATTCCGATTCCGGGAACTGAATTAACTGCTGTCAACGACATCGGCTCATGATGGACGTCGGGCTGCACGATACATCACAAATGATTTGCAACGGCGCCGTCTGCAGGCTCCTCCTCGAGGAGACACTATCGAGTCTAGTAACGGACTTGACAGCCCCGTTTTGGTTTTGGGGGTGGATTTATTTGCTTGAATGGGGGTTTGCAGTGTCTTGCTTTCATGCACGATCACACTAGCTCGCGAACATGATCATCACCATGCGGCAGTTGGTTCGAAGGGCCCGTTAATCATCGCTGAGAGACTCTTACCCCATCGGGAGGCATCGTGTACAGTATTTGGTAGTTCATTTGTTGTAGCTTCTCCATTTCGACTGGTTTGGTTCAGCTCTGAATCTTTCAGCTGAAGTTTCTTACCTGGATTTGTATATACTAGTAGAACCTTGGCTTGGTCCAGCGAATCCTGACTGGCACCGCATCACTCCTATTCAGGGCCTGACCTGCAATCCAGCCACCACTGGCAGTTGGACAGGACGGCTGATCGACAGTGCTTCCTCGCTGGTTCCCGGAATTAATATCCTGGAGCACTCGTCGATCCTCAGATACGCCCTTTCCCAGTTTCTCCATTCTCGAGATTCAGAATGGTGGGAGGGACTTCACTCATTGGCTCTGAACCAGTCAGATCGCCGACTCCTCAGAAGCAGCCATCCATCCTCGAAAACTTTGATCCCACTAGTTCACCCCATTCTTTGGTCCCGGGGAGAGGGGGGGAGGTTCAGCTGCCTCTCTCTGTCTCTTATCCGTATGATAGAGGCAAGTCGTTGATTTGTGGATGGAACTCCTGGGGGAGACACGGACATCGCCGGCGACGAGTGAAACTGTTTAAACCCGCCAGTGGTGTGCCCTGCCCCCCTCGTCTGAGAGGCGGGGAGAGGCTCTGGAGGGACCAGTGATAGGACATGCCGATGCTTACTCCCCCCATACTCCCTCGTATGTGTTCGCATTTGCCTTTCCATACCGAACGAGAACCCAGCAATGACAATGCAGGTGAGCACTCTATCTTCAAATCGGGACCCAGCCAGCCTCAAGCAGGCTTATTTTCGGCGCGTGGCGACTGAGTACTACAACGCAGTGGCTTGGTGCCACGATGTCAAGGAATGTGCCACATATGTAGTAGTTGAGACAGGTGTACACAGTAAATGTGGAATTGACTTCTGTACGCAGTACAGGGGCAATATGTTTTGTTTACTCGTACTTCGTAAGTTGTAGTACATACGGTTTATGACAAAATGGAATGGATTAGGGCTTCAGCTGAGAGTTGGGGGCCAGGCTATTATGTCTTACAGAACAGCACAAGCGAAGACACTTGTGTACATTACTCGATCGTAACATAGTATGAAGTACAATTGACTGACGAGCTGAAATTAAAAGCAGCAGCGATTGAATTTTGCGACTCTGATCAGAAGGATCGATGTTCCATTGGAATGGATGTGATGAAAATAGATCCATAATGCAGCCCGGTTATACTCCGGAACAAGGATGTCAAGACAATGACAATGAGTATGAAAATGACAGCATAGTCCGATTGAACCCTGCACGGGTGGTACGTTTCTGAAGATTCTTGATTATTATCCCATCCCGAGTAATGTGCACGATACGACTTAGGTCGATATTAAATCCTGGATAGTACGGAAATAGCGCCCGACAACGGTCAACGTCAGGGAACTTTGATGGCTTGATGGGCTTGACGTGGGCGCCGGTATGAGATTGGTACAGATCTGCTTCCGTACTATATCCGTACTCTAGTACATCTCCGTATATCGCATACGAATTAGGATTGGAGGGGTTTGGAGGATTTGTACCGGCTTGTACCACCTCGAACGCCCCCCCTTCTCCACCAAACTCACCCAAAATCACCCAAAATCACCCAATCCACCCAGAATCCACGAAACTCTGCTTCCGATGACCCACCCCCAGCCGGGCAATGAGCGACGGGCACGAGGCCCACCCATGAGCAACTCAGACCATCTGAGAGCGGGCATCCGAGCCCATCTGAGCGAGGTAGGCCAGAATCGACCCACGGGACCCGACGATCCTGTACGAGGACGTGGAGCCAGGCTCAGGAGGCGAAACAATGAAGGGGGGGGTGGGAGAGGAGGAGACAGAGGAGAGGTGGAGAATCCGACACTCTGGCAAGAGCATTGACCAACACAGCCGAGAACGAACTGTCCTGCCAAACACCGTGGCCTTTCTTCTTTTGCTCTGTCTCCCTCTCTCTCGATCCAGTTTTATTTTTTACAAATTTCCCAGGGGCTCGGGTCAGCCTCGCATGGCGGTGTGTAGAGACAAGCTTGTGACTGGATGGACTGGGGGAACTGGATCTAAGGCCCTCGCTTCGGTCAGCTCCCAAGAATATCCTCCGACCTTTCCCCCGGAACGGAGTAACTTGAGTACAGAGCTACGAGGATGTACGGATACTTGCGTATGTACCTATAGAATGGGAGGTACGGAGTACATCGGACGTCATACCTTGGGTAAAGTGTTTCGCCACGCGCGGACGCAGGCCCATCCCGCAGGCCTTTCGGCCGTTTTTCTTCCTTCTGGCAATACTATATGAAGAGGGGAAAAAAGCAGGCTAAGGAGTACGACGCTGCAGAGAGTTTCCACATTTTCCCGCTATCTAAAGACCAGGGGGAGCGGTGGTAGTGAGGGTGTTAAGAGGCGAGCTTTTAGCCAAAGTGCCACTGTCATCCCCGATCTTCCTACTTCGTACTGCCATGCCCACTTCCCACTGTTTCCCCCAAAGTCAAAGCTTAGATTAGGGGAGACCAGATGCAGTATCAGCCCGAGCAGGTCCGAAAGTTCCAGTCCGCAGAGGCAGCACCTGGTGGAACCGTTGGGCAACGAGGGATGGATTCAATTCGGAATGATCATCGGTCGCAACTGGAGAATTGAGGAAGAGGAGAAAGAGGAGGCGTTCTTTAGTGTGCAGTAGTGGCTACCGAAGGAGGACAAGTCGGGAGCACAGAAGGCAGAGAGAAAGACGATCGATCCCGCCCCCAATTTTCCATGGGGTGATCGTGCTGGAATGGTGCCAAAATGCAGGGTACTTGGACTTCTGATTTGCTTTTTGGCCGACATCGTTGTCGTCCTTTTGGTGTTCACCGCTAGGCCTCACTTGGGTTCGCGTGGATCGTGGACGAACTCCTCGCTGCGTCCGTCCGAGTCTTCTATGCATCATGCATGCTGGGCGTTTCGTTTATTTGTTGACACTCGCCCTTTCATGCTTCCGGATCCGTACTTTGTAGAGTTGTGTTGTCCTCTCCTGACTCTTTCCTTATTTGATTTTACTTCCATTTTTATCTTATTTTTGGTCAACTCTGCTGAAGTGGCGCGGGTGAAGTGTACCCGCGGGAGTGGTTTACTTTGCTCTAGACCACGCACTGTCCTCGACAAGCCCTTGTTCATGTTCTGCATTGGAACAATGCCGGGTTCTACTCCGCATCGTGGTTGGCCTTGTTTATGGCATGTGCCAAGTTTGAGATATGACAAGGTAGGTTTAAATATAGAGAGGCGTCCGGAGGAGGGACTCGGAGGAGGGTTACGGAGATTGTCATTTGATATCGGACGGAGACCGCATCATTGGCTACAGTATGAGGAGTGGCCTGGAGCCCGCCAGGGTCAGACAGCGGTCGACGCCTCGTGAACGGACAGAGTTTTTGGCAAAGTTAAATGGCAACTCTCGGGGATCCATGAAGAATGGGATTGTGATGGGCTCTGATGATGGGTTATGGGGCCGATGGGAAGATAGTTACCAGATAGTTACATACAGCATACAGAAGATTGAAGATCTGGAGCTGACAGGGGAGGATCGGAAATAAAAAGGAGAAAGAGTATTGAATATTAAATATGTATCGACAATTGATAATCCAAAATTGAAAGAAAAAAAGAAAAAAAAGAAAAAAAAAAAGGAAATATGGGATCGACGAGACGGGAGTGCTCCATCATCCGTCCGCTCTCCGTTTCTCTCTCCATAAAGACCAGGCGGGTCCCTCCCCCCTCCCCCCTACTCGAAAGGTCGATTCACAGATTCCAGGCAGATCCGAATCATGCAACGGGGCCTGTCATGGCACTCATGCCTCATGCTCTGTTCCACCATGAAATAGGAGTTAAACTGGATCTGGCAACGCAGCCGAGCTGGGCGGGTACATCCGTTTGGTACACCCACCATTAGTGTAGATATGAAGATACCAGATCAAGTAGGAGTCGAGTAGATTACGGTACAGAGTACTCCATAAATATTTACTATTATACTATGTATACTCATAGTATACTAGTAGTACGAGTATAGTAGATTAGACTAGACTTTATGATCATACTATGCTGTACTCTGTACACTACTCTGTACACTATCCGTACACGCACAGATGTCAGAGCTCGGGGCTGGTTCCCAGGTAAGCAGTGGGGAAAAGACTAAATGGGCCACTGTACAGTATTATACCAAGTTGAACCAATATTCTATCATATCAGAGACCCACCTGCCATCCCAGGTATCCAGTGTACCTGGTCCTCGGTATCCTAGGATCCGTACTCGGCCGTGCAGATTATAGTGTACATAGTAGTAGTACTCTAGTACGGTAATTACTGTACCCAGGATTATCGTGACGCTGAAGAGTTACGAGTTACGAGTTACTGACTGACTGACTGACTTACCGTAATTATTCCACTTGCTTTCCTTTTATTCTTCGCGCCCTCCCCAGAGTCTTTCCTTTTAATCAACTTCAACGGGCCTGGTGTCCTATACTCGACAACTTCTCGCCTTCGCCTTATTCGACACATCACACACACCCTCGACCTGGGTGTTCCCTGTTCAATCCACATTAGAGTGACCCTTCCCGCTGGGTCTCCCAACTTGCTGGGCTCTCCGGTTCTCTGGCTTGCGGCCTGAAGACTAAACGACCCGCTTCCCATCAGCCTGGTTCCCATTCCCCATTCCCCCCCCAAACTCGATTTCCGTTTCGACTTCCACTTCGACTTCGACTTAAAACATATTCCATTTCCTTGGAATTGTGGAATGAAGTGATTGTGTGGTTTACCTTCGATCTGCGACCGAGCATTTGCCATTACATTCTTGCGCCACTCCGATTTGCACGTCAATCGCACTCTCCGCCATGGCTCCGCAAGACCCCGGTCGCCCCGAGGACAAGCCCGAAGGCTTGTCCAAGTATATCAAGCGCATGAAAACCGTCCTGCGCCCTCGCTCTGGCTCCAAACGTCAATCGGTTGCCGCTACTCCTGATGTCGCTCAATCCAGCCAGTCCGCGTACGTTGTACCTATTGCGACCAATTTTCCCTTCCCTCTTCCCTCTCTCCTCCCCCCCGGTCGCTATACTTCCAGCCACTATAGATCCGATCGCTAACCATCTACCTCTATAGTGCTCCAGCGACTGTCCCTGCCAGAAAGCCAACAGCTGCCCCCGAGCAACCCGCCATGCTCACCGACTATAGCGTCATGCAGCAGGAAAAGGCGCGCGCCCTTTTCGCCAAATACGGCCTGACTCTCGACCCCGGCGAATGGAAGGCTCCCACCGGCGACGTCGAATTGACCCGGGTCACCAAGCCTATTCGCATGCGAGTTCGTCGAACCTGCCACCGCTGCGAAACCACCTTTGGTCCCGAGAAGGTCTGCGTCAACTGCCAACACCCGCGCTGCACCAAATGCCCTCGCTTCCCACCCGCCAAAGAGAAGACTAAAGGCGAGCGCGAACTGGTCCCCAAGACCAAAATCGGTGAAATCCGCTCTCGCCAGCGCGGCGCTCTCCCTCTTGCACCGCACTTCAAGTATACCGGCAACCCGGATGTTCCTCTTACTATACCATCGCGCTCGGGCGGCCAGGATCTCGTTCGCAAGGAAGTGGTTCAGCGAGTTCGACGCACTTGTCATATCTGTAAGACGGTCTTTGTCAAGGGCTCCAAGGAATGCGCTTCTTGCAGCCATATTCGCTGCAAGAGATGTCCACGAGAACCGCCCAAGCTCGACAAGTATCCGGACGGCTATCCTGGCGATGTCGACCCGCCCAAACTGAAACCCGACCGAACGTTCAAGTCACCACAGCGTCGGGTACATTACATATGTCACGTCTGTGAAACTCAGTATAATCAAGGGGCAAATAATTGTTCGAAATGTGGACAGGCGAAATGTGCCGCCACTATACGAATTCCGTACGTCTTTACACTGTCTTCCCCCAGCCCAGAAAGAAATAAACCAAAGCTAACCCAGTCGCAGACCCAAGAAAGTCAAACGAGAACCCGACCCAGCTGTACTCGCCAGCGTCGAGGCAAAATTAAAGAGCCTAGCTATCCGTGATACCCAGGATTAACGCTTCTGTACAGGGGAATCACCGATTTCGGACCCGTGATAGCCATGTTTCCCATTGTTCATCTTGTGTTTCGTGTTTCCTAGCCAGTCGATCTTGATCGACGCTCGATCCTTTTCGTTTCGCTCGTTTCTCGCATGATCATAGCAGACAAAGAGAAGAGACATAAATGTGCCAATTGCAACTCTTGCAAGCAACACTGATTGATTCATCTTTACATAGAGGGTGGAAGTGAAAGTGTATAGAGTTTTCATGCCCTCCCTCATAACTCACATGCTGTCCTTTCCATTTTCCCCTCCGATCGTATGTGATTAGGTACTACCTTCCCTCTTCGGAACTGTACTATCGTTCCATGACGGACGGATCTGCAGTGTTCACCATGCGGTGAATATTCCCAACCAGGCGAACGGTCGCGTCTACTTCCACCCATATTGCTATCTGCACAGAGCCGAAATAGTTCCTTCGGCCGAGCAAAAGCCCAGCCACTCCAAGCCTCGGCTGTCTACGGACGAGTAAGGCCAGACAAGAGTCCAGACCAAACCGAACTAAACACTAAAGATTATCGTCACCATTCCACAGTGCGTACTACATACTCCACCTTCTAGTCCACCTTCTAGAGCAGTACATACCGCCGGTCTCCGACTCCGACTCCATCCTGGGTATGGGTGCAGGGTCTACTATCTAATGTCCGCTTCGAGACAGGAACTCGTGCCTTGATCTCGGGATGGCTACGGTGTGGGGTTACACCGGGTTTTCTAGGTGTCTCTAGTCCTTCCGATTAACCTTGGAATGCATGTGGCCAGCTGGCAGACTGCAGGCGTATAACTGGCAGAGTAAGTACAGCCGGGTACTTACTTTACTACGGGGTATGGGGTATGGTATGGGTATCGCTAGAGGAAGGATGTTATATTGCATGGCTGTGGACATGCACAACTAGCAATGGGGTATAACTAGTAATTAATAGTGAACTGAACTAGTTCAAGTTCCGAGTCGTTATGCAGTTACCTACTCGGACTTGGTGTCATTATAGGAGAAGAGAGTCTAATATCAACACGTGGGCATGGTACTATTACTAGTATGACTTGACCCCAGTCTCCGGATAAGCGGAAGTGGATCTACAAATCAATGTAGGAGTATGGTCAGATCTGAGTCGCTACCGGTTTATACAACCACAATTTGAGTACATCATGATATCGCCTCAAACAGTCTCATGGCCAGAGGGCGGAGGACGGAAGTGCTGGACGGAAGGGAAATGCTTGAACGGTCCGAGCCGAAGTGGGACACCCCCAGCCATAGACCACTCTTGATTTGACGAAAGTTCCATGGTTATTCCGTACTACGAGTATACGGAGAGTCCTCTGAATCTATACTCGTACGCAGTACTCGAGTCTGTACTCCGTACTCCGTACAACTGGACAACACTGTCGCTAACAAGCGGGGAAACATTGCGAAAAGACAAAACATACTGCAACCTCGCTTATTGGACGTACCATTCCCGAGTCCGAGGTGCGAGGTGCCGGCGCCCGGACCTTGCAAGGATTCCCTGCTACATCCAGTTTAGAGCCGTGGGGCGTGTCGCTTCTGTCGGAATTCGAATTCGGACTGGAGCGGGGCGAGTTTGTTTCCGATGTTCGCAGAGTATGCACCTCCATACGAGACTGGTACGAGTACATACTGTATGTACATGAATACGGCTGGGTTGAGGTTGTGGCTGAGTGACGAAATGGAGCATCCATCGTATCTGCATCTGTGATCTGTGCATCTGACCTATGAAGATTAAATAACGAGAACGAGGAAAAACACGCGCGAAGAAGAGAGCCACCCACGACACACTGCTTTAGCTTACGGTTGCACAACTATTTTACCCCTCCAAGGCGTACTTTATCCCGGTCGCGCTACTTCGTTGCGCTGCGCTAGATATTCCTTCCACCTGGGATGCAACGCGACTACTCCATCTCATAGGTACATGGGTCTTGGCCTCAGGCTCGCGATTAGAAAATTACCTGGCTGTTTAAAGACACTGTACTTTTGTCATGCAATGCTGGCCCTACTGGCGCTGACTCTCCAGCCATACACACTGTACACTGTACCTACTGTGTGTACTGCGTACTCCGTGCTCCGTGCTCCGTGCTCCGCACTCCATGCACCGTATAGGCTCCCGACACGGGAGAATAGAATAGAATAGGCTCGGGCCACCGAGCAAGGGTGGTGCGGCGTCATTTCGCAGCAAGGAGGTTGTCGGAACCGAACCGTTGGGAATTTCAATGCCATCCGGTTGGTGCATGTGGTGGCTGAACAGCAAAGGAGGAGGAGCCCTGGAGGAAGGAAGATACAGGGATGGCGATGGAGTCTTAAACGGTGGACTAACCATTTCCAGTAGATCCACCGGAGGATTCCGTACTGGTTTTGGGTTGGCTTGGTTTGAATTGATATGAAAATCTGAAAAATAGTAGTATCAATGGAGTATACCTTCGGAATTTCCCCACGATACTTCCAATGGAAGAGTATAGTACTACTACATAGTACATAGATATACGCCTTTGTATGTACCGAAGGGGAATATGTGTCCTCACATCAACAGATTAATCAATTGGGCATGAATTCGTGGTCCCGAGTCAATATACTTTGCCTTTGCATACTGCAATGCACGTACTTCCCCAAAACTTTGCTGCTACCATTTCGCCGAGATGCGTCCGATCGAAATCCACCCAAAAAAATAAGAAATGTGACTTTTGGATACTCCGCGGGATCTGGTGGCGGCATTTGTGGCGGACCACATACTTGAATTATGTACGGAGTTCTCCATACGGAGTATTGAATGCATGCCCACAATCCAATGCTACCCAGCACAGTGGGCAGACCGACAAGCCAAAACGGACCAGAAATCAGGCAAAAAATAATAAAATAACCAAATAACAAACAAACATCGGACATCCCGAGGCTGCGGGATTTGCGTTTCGCGGGACAGGGGGTTCTGGTTCCCCTGACGCCCTCGCAGCAAACCACAGCAGTCCAATCCACCACTTCTAGCGCTTGGCACGTCAATGCCGGTCCCTCGGTATCCACTGTGGTGAGACCAGCGGAGGCGTAGAAAAGTTGAGTATACAACTGGACTTTTGTAAAGCTGTAAAGCTGTATTTTGGTGCATACGATGTATAGGTATCCTGTCTATACCCATAAGATACTGGTAAACGCCCTGTTTGCTTCGTATGAATGTACAGTACAGACATTTCACTACATTCACGGAGGTTAGGGGGGGCTGGCATACTCGTATGTATGCTCCACTGCAAGACCTGTCTTGACCAGCCCGCCGGGTCTTGTTTTTCGAAGCTGTCAACCTCTTCACAAGCATTAACTGTCAGTTCGCAGGAGATTGTCCACTCTGACCTTTTTTTAAAGTTTAGACCCCGAAGGAGGTGGCTATTTGCCGCGACTAGTATGTCTTTCGCGGGCCATCAATGTGGACGGTGAGAAAGACAGGAGATGAGATGGTGGGTATGTGGAGCTAACGGCCGTTGCTATTTTTTTCGATTTTAGTACGGAGTACCCGTAGACGACAGCGGCGATCAACGGGGATTTGCACTGGGCTAGAATTTAACCGTACCTTTTTCATCTGCCCTGCCTTGTGAGCCACGTTGGAGAATTTTTCCAGGTCTGGCCGGTTCAGGGGCTGGCTCTGAATCAGTCTGAGATGCTAGGATCTACCGTGCAAGGATTTGCATGAATCAAGTCTGGTCTGATCTCCGTGAGGGACGCTGTTAAATCAGCCTGGGCAATGACCATTTTGAATCCTTCGACCGGGTTTTAGGCTCAGCTAAGTATACGTCATCATCCTTTGTCGGACAACATCCGTTTGAATGTTTGAGATGTGAAATTACAGGTATCAACAGGATTGTAATTGAGGTGAGGCAAGGCTGAATATTGCACCATCAATAATACCGTTAGCGCTGATAATAGCTTGGCTGTGAGAAAATTGAGTATGTTTAGCTATGTACGAAGTACATACGCATAATAATATCAGACTTTAATCCTCCGACTCAACTGCTCCGTACCGGCTGACTTCTCATAATCAATATCCTCGGGCTTAACCAAGTCCACGCGTCGCCCTAGGGCCCGCCGAATAATCCAATCTTTACTATTAATTTCCTCCTCAGCCTGACCATCTGCAAGAGGCGGGATTAAACCTGACCCATCCAGTCGCCGCAGCATAACGCTATCCTCCGGCCGTGCAAAATAGACAAGACTATATCGTGTTGAGTCTCCCTGAATACCCGGCGGTGCCGCAACACGATGAATATTCGACCGGAACAAACCATTGGTGAACTTGACCATCGCGTCACCGAGGTTCACAACTGCATGGCCAGGTAGTGGCCGCACATATACCCACTCTGCGTCCTCGCCAGGTGGTAGAACCTGCAGTCCGCCCAGCCGATTAAAGAGAACCGTGACACTGCCAAAATCGGTATGCTGGCCCAGTGCTGTGCGCCTGTCATTCATAGGCTGAGGCGGAGCTTTTATTAAGCGAACTTGATCGCCACCGACCTCCTGGAGACGATGGAGATTGGCGAGAGTATCTTTTGGCAAAGCTAGTTTGTCATTCAAAACTTGCAGGATGAGAGACACGATGGTGTGTGAGCCACTCATGAACGAGCTCAGCTTTGCTCTGCTATTGTGCAAGACATCCGGTGCTGGAAGCTGCTCCGAGATACCCATAATGTCATCCTTGGAGACCTATTCACGTCAACTGGGACTGCTTGAAGGCTTGTGGGAGCCAACAACTCTGCAAGACATGACATACGTTATAGAACTCATTTCGATCTAGGTTTCCATCCTTGTCGACTACTGACACTCCTTGGCCTTTATACCCAAAATACGAGTTCTGCTTGCTGAAATCATAGAGCACTTTCTCTTCCAGTGGGAGCTCGAACAAACTTTCTCCAATCCGGAAGAGGTCATCTGCGTCGTCGAGGAGCGATTCCCCATGTTCTGAATCTTGCAGGTCCAGGTAGAAGAATCCAATATCGACAGATGCCTCGAATAGTCGCTCGTACTCTGTTAGATCCCCGGCCAGCAACTTCCCCAGTGATAGCCGAAGCAGCGGTGCCGTGGCGACGTCGTCTGGGAAAGGAGGTATGCCGGGGAAGTTACCCAGATGTTCAGTATCTGAAGGCTGGGTCATGGCTGATAGACTAATCAAATGAATAAGGTGTAGATAATCGGACTTCTTGTCAAAGTTGCTCAGGGTGGGAAGCGCTCTCAGATGATTCAATCCACGATGGAAGTAACACATCCATGCGGGGAAGCCGAATGAACCGAGGAAGTAACCAACCATTGAAAACTCATGTTTCCGTGGTCGGACTCAAATATTGATCCGAAAAGTAATTGTTCAGCAAAGTACTCGTACAAAACTGCTGCTTGTATTGAATTCCTTGATATCGGCGTCGAGCAGGGAGGGCACTTTTTTGCTGCCATCATGCCGTGCTGTACCTTGGATGACGATAAATATCCCAAGCTTTATGACGACGGAACGTCATTGGTATCAGCAATATCTTCAAAGCACCACTGCTGCACCTGTTTAATCAAGCAATCTCCATTAACCCAAGTGGAGACATCCCCACGCCGAGGACAACAACCACCCCGCATTTTTTTTTCACCCGAAGATGCCACAACACCTTCTCAATATAAGCAGACCTCAACCATGGCAGCTGAGAAAGTCTTATGCATCGCGGACCTTCAAAAGGCAGCTTCGCAGATCTTACCAGTTGCAACTCGAGGTAATGAACCCTTCACCCAAGATATAGTGCTCAATGGCTAATGAGGGGCAACCGTGCGCCAGACTTCTTCAATTCCGGTGCAACCAACCAAGTCACCATCCATGAGAACTCCTCCTCATACCAAAAGTATCGGATATTGCCCCGTGTCTTGAAAGATGTCTCCAACGTCAGCACTGCGATCAGACTATTCGATCGAGACATTACCTTCCCACTCTGCGTCTCGCCAGCCGGCCTCCAAGGCATGGCCCATGCAGACGGCGAACTCGCGACTAGCAGAGCATGCGCCAAAGCAGGTGTCAATATGGGAGTCTCTTCGTATGCCAATCACTCTGTAGAGCAGATCATCGCTGCCGGAACCGAAGTAGGACCTATCCACCACGTCATGCAACTATACTCGATGACGGACCGCGAGAAAGAAGCGCGGATCGTGCACCGCGCTGAGAAAGCCGGCTGCAAAGCGATATTCCTCACAGCGGATAGTCCAGTCCTTGGCGTACGGTTTAACGAATGGCGGAATGGATTCATGCCCCCAGCGGGGCTGGACTATCCCATGATCGAGAAGACGTCAGAGCAGATCCAGCAGCAGTCGCATGACGATGGATTCTCATCTTTCAATTCGGCTTCGCACTCCTGGGCTGAAGAGATTCCCTGGTTGCGCAGTATAACAAAGATGGAGATTTGGATCAAGGGTGTACTCACGCCTGAGGATGTGGAGATGGCTATCCAGTATGGATGTGATGGCGTTGTGATTAGCAACCATGGTGGACGGCAGTTAGATGAGACACCAGCAACGATTGATGTTCTACCTGCCTGTGCGAAAGCTGCTCAAGGGCGCATTCGCATTCATATTGACGGGGGGATCCGGTCTGGGAGCGATATCTTCAAGGCTTTGGCGTTGGGAGCGGAGTGTTGCTGGGTTGGCCGTCCGATGCTTTGGGGGCTGGCGGTAAGATTGACTCTATCCGTATTGTGGGAGAGTATCAAAAGCTGATCACATATCTCGAATAGTATAATGGGCAGCAAGGAGTGGAGTTGATGCTCGACATTCTTTACCAGGACTTTAAACGGTGTATGCAGCTGGCGGGGTGCAAATCGATCTCTGAGATTGGGCAGTCGAGTCTTGGAATTTTTCGATCGGATGGACCATTGGCAAGATTATAGAATAAAGTAAAGTAAATAGAGTAGAATCCTGAATATATCAGTGTTGTCACAAAAAATATGAAGTAACTATACGGGGCTATGGGATCCCATAGAACTGGCTATCTTATCGGGTGACATCAACTTGACCCGCGGGAATTTTCTCAACTCCAATTCGACCTCCAACAATTTGAACTCTTCCACAACATCTCCCCTGCGCACAAAGCCACGGCCTAGCACAAAGGCCAACCCTCCAATATGACAGACTCACCAACCCCCAAACAACACATCGCCCACACCCTCCTCTCCCGCGCCCACTCCCCAGATAGCGCAACCCAACAATTCACCGAGCGCATCAAACAAAAACCACTCTACCTCCGCCCAACCTCACCCTCAGCCTCTGACAACCGATCTCGCCGCCGCCTGCACCGACTTCAAAAGAAAGAATACTTCCGGCGCCACCAGCGCCCGCAACCTTTATCTGCGCGCGAAAAGCGGTCATCCGGGCTACATGACTTGCCAAAGGACGAATGCAAGTATGCGATCTTTAAGGGCCTGCATGAGCTGTGGATTAGCTATATGCAGGAGCTTCTGGACCTTGGAGGGTCTGCAGCTAGGGGTAGGTGTTCATTGACGCCTTCGTCGCATGGTGCGAAGCTTGTTAGTGCGGATTATCATGGGGCGGAGGTGGAAGTTGTGAGGAGTCGGTCTTCGGGGAGGGTGGGGTTGAAGGGGATTGTGGTGAGAGATACGAAGTTTACGTTTGTGATTGTTACGGCGAAGGATGAGGTTAAGAGTAAGTGGTATCTTGTTACTGTTGTTGTTCTTGCGTATTGTTACTTGAAACTAACGGGTTTGAATGATTATAGCGATTCCGAAAGAACATACGGTCTTCAAATTTACTGTGCCGCTGCCAGTACCGACGAGCGAGGAGTCTGCTCATGACAAAGGGAATATGGAAATTGAAGGGGAGATACATCGAATGCGCCAAAACCGCTCGTTTTCGAGCTGCACGGGAGTCAATTTGAGAATCGACCTGTGGATCGGGCGAATAAGAAGTTCAAGTGGAGGAATATCGATTACCTATAGCTGGTCTTTTATCGACTACAGACCCCATTGGGCTTGAATGAAGTTTTGCAAGACATGCATAAGCGGTACGGTACATATTGAGCGAATATAATCTTTGTTTGAAGTGATCATTATTTGTTATTTTAGATTCATGGGTATCTTGTAAAATGTATCTCATCCACGGGTGGCAATGTTGGAATAATTTTGCTTATCAAAAGCAATCATGATTGACTCTCGCCGATTCCTAATTCTATGGTGCTGCTTCAGCGGCGCCCCAAGCGAGACAATTTCGATAGAGCATTGCATCGTTCGAGAAATGAAAGAAGCTATTATTAAGCTACTATGTGAAGATAGCCCTTTAGTATGGGAAACAATAAAGGGATATCTTCACATAATAGCTTCATAACAGCTTCTTCCCATTTTTGAACGGCAGTTGATCCGAACAACCATATCAATTTGGGGTGAACAGTGCATAGACGGTCAAGTTAGGATATCGCATGCCCGGAAACTATCATTGGCGATTCGATCGTCAAGAATTTTTTTCATCGCCGAGTGACTCCTTGGGCTTGGAATGTGGTGATTAGATACTGCATGGGAGAGCGTCTCCTGATGTATCTTTGACTGCAGCCAGAGACAAGCGACGTGCGACGACAGCCGGCAGCCGAGAAGTTTTGTGACAGCGAAAACAGAAGCAAGCCCCTTCACATGCCTGCCCACTCAATACTGAATGTTCGCACACTTTCCACTCGTTCAGCTTCAGATTCAGCCTGGGGCTTTTCTGGTCCGCCAAAAGGAAGCCCTTCTTCACACCAGTTCCCAGTCTGCCACCATTGACGATGGTCATCAAGTCAATCTCTTCATCCCATTCTGCGGACACGCAAAGGAAGTGCGCGTGGAATCGTAACGGATCACCGGGGTATGCCACATATTGGCAACCGAATCGTAGACCAGGGGAGAGGAAGTAGCCGCGCGAGGACAAATGGGCGAAGAGCGGGTAGGAAAGAGGTACATTGGGTGGCGGGAGATGTTGTGATGAGGTCGGTTGGGCTAATGGAGGATAGGATGTTGTTGGAGTGACGCCCATGGCCATTGTATGACCAGATGTGCGGTTGGAGGACCTGCTGCTCGACCGTTCTTCATCGAGCACTGAGGGCGAGGGCGTGGGCGGGGTATCTGTTTCACCCTCATTCTCCAAGGCCTTGATGGCTTTAGCCTTGGCTTTCTCATCTAGTTTCTTCAACACTTGTTCCCGTTGCTGGCCCTTGCGGTCCGACAGTTTGCGGGAGGCGTTGAGGCCCTGGGATTCTAGTTCGCGTAGGTACTGGCGGCGGTCTTCCTCGAGGAGAGATTTCATGCCATCGTGTGCCTTGGTTTCGTCTACGATGCAAGCTACACCCTTGTCCACCAAAAGCCGCGCCTCCTCAGGCATCAGTTCCAACGGCAGACCCAGGAACACATTTTGCTGTGGGATTTGTGGGAGAGTCCCGATCAACACGCCGCAGACGTGGTGCTCGCGTCGGAGGTATGTGACGGCGTCAATGGAGAAGAGCAGGTATTTGCCAGATACGTATGAGATCGGAATTGGAATGGTAGGGTTCCCCATTTTTGATTATTTTTTTCTTCTTCTTTGTTCTTCTTCAACTGTCTTTCGAGCGTGTAGCTTGACTCATAGATTCTGTAACTGTAGCGAATGTCATGTTAGCCGAAGCTCATCAAAGAAAGATGTAATAGTAAAAACATGAAGATTCAAGGCAGGTCATTTTCAATACGTTTCTCGTCACCGGTGCTCTTTTTGAGATATTTATATCGAGCTTCAGGGGATTGACAGATTTGTAGATATATAATCATGCAAAGGAAGGAAAAAGAAAAGACAGTTATGACTTACCATTAGCGAGCGGAGTCTGGAATTTGACCAGCAAAAGCCAGACGAAGTGTGAGGAAGGAGAAAGAGGGAAGAAGTCGAAGCGGGAGGGAAAGAAAGAAATTGGAAGCGAAAAAAGTGGATGTGTCATCAGTAGGCGGTCACCATTCTGCCAGAGCTATAGGTATGGCTCGCCTCGGCGATTGCAGCGCGCGGCTTCATTCCCATCTCCTGTGGTCGTCATGAACTTCCTACTTTTGATGTTCCTGGTCTTCTTTGCCCCATTGCTTCTGTTTGTTGGTTTGTACCCATCTGCTCTTGCCACTGAATATATAGCGATAGCTTGCTAACACACTCTCCAGCATGGCTGGTAGCTTCATCTTGCCTTGGAATCGTCTCCGCAATCGCACTGGAGGATTCTCGGCGCGATCAGGAATGGGCTCGTACGGCCAAAGCTACCTGCGAACAATGGCCAATTCGAGTGCCGCTATGTCTGAACAGATCGAGTTGGACGACATGCTGGCCGAGCCCGGAACCCATCGGCAATTCGAGGAAGAGGATTGAATACACGAATACGATGAAATCATCATGTTTTAAAAAATCAGAACTCGAGATCCGATTTCTTGGGCATACCGCTAGATGCAGCCGTGTCTTGCGCCTCGGTGTCTCCTTCGGCTGGGGGCAGACTAAATGGCTTAATCTCAAACCTCCGCCGACTCAGAGTAAATGCCCAATCTTCTCCGACATTCTGATCGCTTCCACCACCACGTTCGTGTAGAATTGGGAGTCGATGGGTCTTGAGCATGCCTTGCGGCGGTTCTTCCTGTGAGGTTGCGGCACCCGAAGTCGTCAAATTATCCGCGGAATGAGGGAACGGACATAATTCGATGACACCGTCGTTGAGAAGCTCGATCCAGCGGACCAAACCGGATGAACGAGGATACAGACACAATGGGAATGTTATCATTGCTGTCACACGTGCGGGGTATGCATTGAGGAGTGCTTTGAGCGAGTGCAAGAACTGCAGGACATATTCGGGGCGGCAAGACTCGGGCGGGTACAAGGTCGGGTTGAGCAAGGAGGGGATCACAATGCGATGAATTGTGTTTGCGGCACTCGAGGCAATGGCCGTCTCGAGTCGGTTGAGGATCGCTGGAAAGGGCGAGTCTTTGGCGGGCATGAAGGGAATGAATGTCATATTGGTGATGGAGGGGTGGGCGAGCCGCTTGGTGAGATCGAAAGCGTGACAAAAGGCAGGTGGTTGCTTCGCGTTGGGGTCTTTTTCTCCAGCATTGGACGGTGAAGGAGCAGCAGCTATACCATTACAATCAGTCTTATGAAACTATAAAATCAAGCTCCTCTCCATGGGTACTCACCTCGTGCGCCTGCAACACCTGCACCAAACTCGCCTAGTCGCTCATATCGCCAGGCAATTTTCATGCGCTCATCCTTACGCCTGTCAGATCTCTTCTCATCCAGAGACTCTGCGGTACCAATAAGACCGGGCAGACTGCGTCCCCATTGTTCAGGCATTGCGACCACATGGACCTTTTGTTCTTGAACAATTCCCTCCGCGGCATAATACCGTAGCAATGCACCTGCAAAATCCGTAGTTCCATTCTCCTCAATAAGTAGACTCTTTCCCATTGGGAGACCTGCATGACCCGCGAGGAGGTTGTCTAAAGACGGTGCTCCGGTCGAAGTAGTTGGTCGTCCATCATCGGGGGAGGGGCGAATGCCAGGCGTCACTTCTGGCGGGGCTGTCTGTGTGGCATTGGGAACTGCAGAGCGATCGGTTCCAAGACCGATATTGCGCTTGCGAAAGGACATTATGTCGCAAAAGAGTGTGAATTCGTTTTACACGAGAATGAAGAGGTGTTTGTGAGGCTCGGGCTGGTGCCAGTGGTTCATCCAGCGGGGGAGAGCCCAAAGGCGGTAGAAAAAAAAAAGAATCGGCAAGCTTCAGTTGCAACTCCGACCATCTCCAACTTTCACCACCGCTTCTCTCCCAACCTCACAGCCTCAATCGACCCCCGCGTTCCCTTCACCTTGTCCTACTATACTTGATCGCCACTCGCGCACATCTCTTGTGCCCTCTATAATTCTCACAACTCCGCCTTCGTGCAATCGCATTGCCCGCCATGTCCGACCCTCTCCTCTTCGAAGATACCTTCACCATCACTTCGGTCAACGCCCAAAAGTATGACCGTGTGTCGCGTCTAACTTGTAACTCCACCGATGCCTCCCTCACTTTCACTCTCGATGTGAATTCCGAGCTCTACCCATGCGCTGTCGGCGAGACACTGTCTCTGGCGCTCGCATCCACTCTGTCCCTCGACGGAAAGGAAGACACCCGCAACAGCTGGAGAGATGTCAGCAACGGCGAGCAGACCCTGGCTAATGACTACGATTACGTCTGCCACGGTAAGGTCTACCGATTTGAGGAGGGCGCAACCAAGGATACCATGTAAGTCTTTTTCGCAGATCCTTTGCTTCATACATATCATATCCCATCCTCGGAAACATCAGCTGACAAACGTCTTTAAGGGCTGTATTTGTTTCTTTCGGTGGTCTGTTGCTCTATCTGGAGGGTCCCTATAAGAAGGTTGCCCCTCTGCGAATTGACTACGTCTACCTGCTTCTGAAGAAATAGACGGGCTCCCTTTGTCCGTTGTTTGGATCTGCATGAACCTTTTATGAAGAGAGCCCATGTTTCGAAATGAGTCTGCCATGGACCGATAGAAAAAGTTAGGGGTGTCTTTGATTCCGGCGGATGTGTTCATATCTCTTTGTTGTTATTGTGCAGCGTTGGCGTTTCCCTTGCATTTCGATTTGGGTTTGGATACCGATAGATGAATGACCATTTATCAAAACCTTTACTTTTGCTCAAGCCATTTTCTGCGAAGGATGTAGGACTGGATTTTCGGGTTTTACATGTGGTCTGGTTATTCCGGTTACCTCGATTGCCCGGTTAGAGGTTGTGATGGGACCAGAATGGGACGAATAGTCGCTCGTAGCAGGATCCACCTCGTCATTAATTAGTTGTCCTAGGCATGCTTTGTGCGGTCGATGTGCCACAGGCCTGGGTGGCTTTGCTAGGGTACAATAGTATGTGACTACAAGTAGTAGGTATCGAGGAGATACGCTAGGGCTGGGATAGTCTCGAGTTGGCCAATAGAGTGGAGGCAAAGATATCTTCGCCGGCTACTAAGAGAGCGAGTCTCAGGCAACTCGCGTAACCAAAACCCTTATTATACTGGGGAGGAACAGGCATGTATTCAAGTTTTTAATTCATGAAACCAATGTCCAATAAGTTTCGTTCTCATCTGCTTGTCATTGGGAGATACCAATGATGTTTTGAGACTCAAGATGGCCCAAGCGAGATTTTCCTGTTTTTAAGTTGTTTAAAGGCTTCATCATTGATCGTATTTACTTCGGCATTATTCACTTTATGCTTCAATGCCACTCTAGAACTGCGACGGTTTGGCTGTCCATTTTCTATACACACTCAGATGAGTCTTGACAGCATTTACCGCACGCAGTGCGATGCAGTTGGGTATTCCAGACGGCGATGCAGCCGGGCCACAATATCCAAATAATCCGGCTCGTTCTCTGCTGTCAGGATGCCGTGACGAATGAAGAAATCAATCAGAATGATCGCGCAGTTAGGCTTGAACTCACCCCGCGACAGCGCATCTTGAGTTTCTGAGACCGAGAGCAGCTTGAACTCCTCGACCTCGCTATCTCCGGGCTTCGGGATCACGGATGGGTCGAGCTTCAGATCATAGACGTACTCCACTTCCGGCTGAAGAAGACCTGTCTCCCCGCCAGCACGTGGATCGCGAACATGTGTGTAGGTGACGCATCCTCGCGCAAGGATAGAGGCACGCACCACGGATTCCGGTAGAGAGGCTTCCTCCATTGCTTCGCGGACGATACACTCGAATGGCTTTTCACCGGTGCACATGCCACCCGCAACGGTGTTATCAAGCATGCTTGGATAGGTTTGCTTGTTCTTGGCTCGTCGAGGAATCCACAGCTTCACGCCGGCTGGATCCTGGACATATCCGGTCATATGGGCTCCGTAGGTGACGACGCCAAACAGACACGCCGCACTCCGCTCGATCTCGAAGATGTACTCACCACCAGGTGCAAAGACTGGATATCTTTCATTTCGCCATCCCTTGAGCACCTCAAAAGTTTCTTGTTTGACTGCTTCTCCAATGGTCTCTGCGATCAGCTTGCTGCGGAGTGCGGGGTCCGCTCCGGCGGGAGTGATGAGAGTGACGGTCTTTGCTTGAGAGTCGATCTTCCAGTATTCTTGCGGCCAGGGAAACTGGTCAACAACCGATTTAATTATATATCCCAGGGTAGCATCGTAGCCAGAGACGCGGAATGCATGGTAGTTGTTGAGATTCTCGGTGTAGGCGGCACGGTCGTCCTCGTAGTAGGGGAAGCTGGGTGGGTGAGAGGATGCGACAACTGATGGAATGGGGGGTCAGTACTTATCGCATTCCTTGATCAGATCCAGGTTGGATTTGGCCATGGTGAATGAGGAGAATAGAGAGGATCACTCAAAGGAATGGTTAAAAGGACAAGACAAAGTCAATTCAGTCAATTCAGTGTCAACATGGATGGGAAATGCCAAGCCCTTATCGCCCGATAAGGGTAGCTCCCCCGCCGACTTTCCTAATTGGGAGAGGTTATGTCACTGGCGCAAACCCGTTCAAGTTCGCCCTCAAAGAAATCAGGCTTAACCCTCTTCCTACTGTACCTCTCTTTCTACCTGTCTTTCAGCTATTCTCAATCGCCACCCCCTCTACCCGATCTTCTACCCGATCTACATTAATCCAATGTTCTCAGTCGTCGTTCCAGGCCGCCCGTGCCTAACAGATATTGTCCCCGTGGACGGCCAACCAAACGGCCAAGCTACCAAATTCGCATTCACAATCCCGTTCAACCCACCTTTCACCGACATCGTCATCTTCTTCCTTCCAGGCACAGTTCTCCCACCAAACACCGGTGCTGCGATCTATGCTCAACTTCCCGATCCAAACACTGGAGCCCCCACCGATTTCCGCTTTGTCGGCGCATTGGCAAACGAGAAGCAATCGGGCATTTTCAACATCCGCAATCCAGCACAGAATAATGGAAACGGTCGTTCAGAAGCTGAGCAGGAGGACGAGATGCTCGACGAGGGTTCAATCGCAAGCAATGGCGTCGTCACACTGGGAATTTCAATCGAGGCCGCAGAGAACATTGCGCCTCAGCTTTCTGCCCTCGAGGCCGAGCGCGCGCAAAACACATCCAACTCTACAGCCCTAGTGACCCAGTCTGGCTCAGGCTCCCCGCAAAACCCAATCTCTACCAAAGTCCTCGCTCAACGGATCATCGGCAGTGCGTTCAATTTCCTCGCCAGCTTTGCCGAATCAGATCCTTCGAATAAGGGCCATGATGTCGTACCACTTAAGAGTTTTCGCGATTGGTGGACAAAATTTGAGCGCCGCATTGAAATGGATCCGGCTTTTTTGGAGCGCGCGGATCCCAATGCCAATTGAGGGAAATCGATGAAAGGAGAAAGGGAAGAAAAACAGCCCGCCGCTATCCATGGTGTAAACTGCATCGCAGTTTGCTATTGCCAAGCGCATAAAATTTCCCGGTTTGGACGATGCTGGGGATGGGAATCACATTCCGTGGAATGGTGTTTCTATTTTTGGCATTCATTGAGCGACTGACCATTCTTTGACGTGTCACGATACAATGATCTCATTTTGGTGTATAGTTACCAAGATTTTAATAACATTCGGAGTGTACGATTTATTTTCTTCTATTTCTAGTCACGAAACCCATATCGTTACTGTTGGAGCGTGATAACACCCTCAAGCGTAATTGGGTCAAGCATCCCCGATGTGAATACTTTCAATAGTAAAGCAAGTGACTGGAACTATCTTGGAGGCCACTACCAGATCCAAAACAAAGTAATGACAGAATGAATTCGTTATCTTTTTTCAAGCTCGTGAAAGTTGACTAAAATCTCCTTCATCAATGGCAGTATTCTTTGGCGAGTGGCTAAGCCACTGGCTGGCCATAATGGATGAGAAAGAAGACCCATCAGGCCAATCCATAGAACTTGCAAGTCTAAAGATTCAATATCGACCTTTTCTAGCAGATCCAGCTCAAGGAGAAAATCAAGATTGAGCCCTAAACGGCGTTTCCAAAAGGACTCTGGAATATCGACCAAAAACACAGATAACATGTTACGCGTATCCTGCAGATCCTGCCGTGTGTATTTCAAGGGGCAAATGATTTCCATCACCATATGGCAGATTTCGAGTGGGATCCGTGTGTTGAGGTATGGGCTCTTCCATCTTTTTCCCTGCAAGCCAGCCATTTGTATTAAATCTTGCACTTCGGGTACAATCAATGGGCTACGGTAGATTTTGCAACCCCAAAAGTAATCTTGGTATTTTGTATACTCAGCCCTGTCGAGTTGATGGGCCCAAAAGAAAACATCAATATCTGAATTGGCCCATGGTCTCTCAGAACTGAGTACCTCAGATAGCCCAATTTGCCAATACTGCCTTGCAGCCTGGACAATCCTGCCAACCATCCTATCCCTCACTTCTTCTCCTAAAATTTGGACAAATAATTTCCAGCAATGAGCATGAAAAAAGTGACCAATATTATTGTTTTCATGGAGCATCGGTGGTTCAAGTTCTTCTGTCCTAGAAGCTGGGTAAAATTGCGTAGATTGTAGGTTTCTATATGGTGACCTCGAATCTCCACCACATATGAGAGCAGTATCTTTGTCTGTCGGACTGTACCAATGG